AAAAACTACTCTGATAAGCTCCCCAGCAACCACTCGAAGCAGGTTCCCTTCCACCCCCCGCGCACCAACCCGACTGAGTGGTCGCTCTACTATCGTACGACCCTCGCCAACGGGTCACCCCACACACCATCCCGGCATAGTCCGAACACCGCGTTCTCGCTCCCATGTCTCGCCACCAACATTCCCTTTGCCATTCTCCGCAGGAGTGCATCAGATGATGTAGACGTATATTCGGTAAATCTGACCAATCGTATTGTAAAGTTGCTGCTGTGTCTCGCGATCCCAGAATCCAGGCTGATGTTTTTGGCATGTTGTCGCAAGCCAATTCCGGGGTCGTGGGATCACGCAGCTTCGGTAGGCACCGAACCGTATCATCGTTGCGTTTGAGGACCTGAAGCAGGTGGATATAAGGCTGGTGGTTTTGCTTGACTTGGTTGTTCATCATCATCATCCAGCCATAGCAACCTTCAGCTAGACAGTCACACTGACTACTATCGCATTTTCGCATCGCAACACATCGCATATACAACAATACATCTTGCAACAAAAAGCTCATCAGTCAACGGTCATCACTAGAGTCAGCAAGCCATATCACTGTCAAGACCAATCCAATCCAACCCGCAACAACACCACCAACGATCAAAATGCCAGCAGTAGGAAAGTCCTATCTTCCCTCCTTCGCCGCTTTTCTTGGTAAGTCTTCCTGCCTCCAATCCATATGCAATTCCCTTTCATGCCCACCTTCCTTGTTCTTCTCACTCTTCTCTCACTCTTGTACGCAATAACAAACAACTAACATTTATTCCAAGCCTTCGGCATAACCTACACAACAATCGTCGCAACAAAAGAAGGCGCAGCCGTCGACGGGGCACGAACACGCTGGCAAGACCAACACGCGCGCGCGAGGAATGCCCTCAGCGGAGGAATGAGTCTGGCAGACATGGAGAGGAAGTAGAATGGTCAGAAAAGCACAGAGTGGAGGAGGGGTTCTTCAATTCTTGTTTGCATATTAGGGATCTGAGAGGCGTTCTACGGTTGGATAGTGTAAACTCTCAATGGGAGAGAGCTTAGCAGTTTCTTATTATTATTAACGAAAACAAGTATCACTTGCACTGTTACAATACCTTCACTCCCCTCACTTCTGTTTCACCCACTTCCCCACCATCTCCAAAGTATCAACGAACCCCCACTAGATCTTCCTTCGCTACCAATCTTCCATCTGCCATCTCCCGCCTACTTCCACATCCCTGCCTTTCACTCATACTTTGGATATTATACCACCAGGATACAGGCCTATAACACTATATGTGCTATTGTTCCGGGAGTCAATCATAGTACCCGACGCATGAATAACGCTTTAAAGAGGGTCGCGTTGGTGCGATGCGTGAATGGGAGGCATAAAGGATTGTGGAAAGTGACGTGTATGAAAGGAAAAAATAAATTAACGTCGCCGACAATCCGTATGCAGGGAAGACGGACAGGGAATGTTGCAGATACGGTAGAACGGGTGGTTAATATGGGTAAAGTGTGTAGGGCAGAGGACGTGGGGGCGCGACACCTGGTGGATAGGTGGAGGAATATATCGACGGAGGAGCGGAGGGCGAGACACACTTGATTCCTTCTTGTGGGTTGGTGGCTGATGAGTCGACATGGAGCAGGCACTACAATCGATGACACAGAACAGACAATTAACTTCAACAGTGTATTCAATCCCACATGCACTCTACATGATGTCGGTTCCACTTTCTCTCCCTTCACCCCCATCGACCTCGGGGTCAAATATATCTACAAGAAAACCCATTGCCGTTAAACGCCGTCCAGAACGGAAGTGAAGTACGCTTGATACCATTGCATAGTACCGAGATAACAAAGGGAATGGAAAGAGAGAAGCCTACTCGCTGTTTGTGGCTGCATATGACCAAACAAAGGGAATCGTTACAATCATGTAGGACCAGTCTATCAAATAAAGTTGCTGCAGTGTAGGCGCGCAAAGAGAATCAGAAAAGAACGACATGTTAAGCCTTTAGATTTAGCTATGAGTCGAGCATCGATGTGATATCGGCTATTCTTTGCATGACTGGGCTCATGGCGGCGATCTTCCTCTCCAGACGCTCTGCTAGAAGTGCCTCGTTGGCATCATCCGAGATGATTAGCGAGTAGCGTGCAAAGGCCTTCTCAGGGTTGGTGAAGAGCGCTTCTTGGTCCTCAATCGGCGCAGTGGCGGAGGGAGTAGATGAAGAGTAGTACAGGTCGTATTCAGCATCTTCTTCTTCTTCTTCGGTCTCTTCGATAGCAGCGGCGGGCTCGGACTGAACGGGGCGCTCAATGACGGGGTAGTCAGCCTTGGCCTCCTCAACAGGTGAGTCGTCCTCGGCATTCAGGATAGCGCTGTATCCCTTGCCAGACATAGCTTCGATATCAAGGGGGTTGCTGGGGCCCTCGGGTAGCTCAGTGACGGCGAAAGCGACTGGTTGCTGGAAGCTGAAGCCGTTGTTGACACCCCAGTTGTTGCCGTTGTTACCGTTGTTGTTCAAGTTGAGCATGGCGAAGTCAAGTTGGGGCTCGGGGACCATGGTCATACCGACGTGGGTGTTCTCAGCTTGCGACATGCCGTTGAACTGTTGTTGTTGCTGCTGGAACTGAGCCGGGGCAGGAGCAGTGGCGACAGGTGTTGAAGTTGACGGCATTGAGGTCATGGGCGCCTTGGCCTGGAGTGACTCGTCGCGGGAAAGCTCCTCGAGGAAGGGAGTAAAAGCTTGGTGGCGGAGCAGGCGCTCGATGAAAGCGCGGGAACGGGCGTTCTCCTCCATGAGGAGGCGGTTTTGGGCGCGGAGTTCGTTGGCCTCGTTGACCTTCATGGCAACCTCGCCTTCGAGCTGGCCAATGTATTCTAGTCAAGTCAGTTGGCATTCCATAGATGGTGATGATCGTGTTAGCTTACCCTTCCTTCTTGAGCGGAAAGCGCGAGCGGAGACCTTGTTACGGAGCTGGCGGCGCTCCTTGGAGCTCAGCTTCTTGCCCTCCTCGGACGCAAGTAGCCTCTCGTCCTCGTCCATATCCTCTTCGTCTTTCTTTGCGCGAATGATGTGGGGGAGGAGGCCTTGGTTGTCGTTCTGCATGGAGGCAGACGCGTTCTGGCTGTCGGCCCGGATCTGAGCGACGACGCGGGTGATCATCTCTTCGGTGTGGGCGTCGCTGAGCGGGCTCGATGTCTTGCGATTGGCGGAGCTGGTGGAGGGCATGCGGTTCTGTTGCTGTTGCTGTTGTTGCTGCATGGCCTGCTGTTGCTTCTGGTGGGCCAACTGCTGTGCTCGCTGCTGCTGGGCCTGCGCCTGCGCCTTGGCCATAGCAGCTTGCTGTTGATGCATACCGGGCCATACCCGGACGTTGGCGACCTCCTCTTGTGTAATGGCGCTTGGGTCGACGTAGTCGTCGGAAGCATCGTTGAAGGCGAAGCTGTTCTGGCGGTAGTCGACGCCCATGTTCATACCGACGTCCATGGGCAGGCCCGTGTTCCAGGCGCCGTCCATCATGGAGTCGCCGCCCATCATGGCCATCTCGTCCAAGCCGGTGGACGAGAACATGGGGAAGCCGGTGTTGTAACCGGCATTCAGGCCGGAGATGGAACCGGTGGGAAGGCCAGTCTGCTGCTTGAAGCGCTCGTACTCGTGGCTAGGCTTTGCGGGTGTCTGGAGGTCGTCGTCGATATTTGTGCTGGTGGGACTAGCCATGGTCGAAGTCGCACTGGACTCCCTCTTCAGCGTGGCAGGCTGGGTGGGCGAGGGCATCTGGCCAAAGTCGAAGAACTCATTGGGGTCGACGCATTGATTAGGATGCTGGTTGAAGGGGGCCATGGTCATGGCAGGCTGGACTGCGGTAGCCATGTCGGTTGTTGATTGTTTGGACCTGCTGGGGAGTCGCTGATCGCGTTTGAGCGTTCCTTAGGCAGGCGAGTGGATGTCTTGGGGGTGTTGTGTTGCGGGCACTGGGTGGGTGACCAGAGCGGTTAGGCTGCTGGAAAGTCGTCGTCAGCTCCTCTCTGGGCCGGTTCTGCCGGAAGTGTGGCTGTGCCGTTGGATCCGCGCCTCGTGGATTGAGCGCGTTTGTCGAAGGGAAATGGAGCGAGTGTTTTGGGTGAGTTAGAAAAGGCGTCGATGGGTGAAGATGGCGGATGTTGGATTGAAGTGTGTAGTGAGTGAGAGAGCAGAGCGATGGTATGGGAGGGATGGACGAGGCGTTTCACACTGAGGCGGAGTCCCCCTTCTCGAAATAGAAGGAAGCAGGCCAAACCCAGTCGGTCGCTCAATGCCGATCACCGCCCAGCAATCTTCGGCTGTTCCTCTCCTGAGCGCCGCCGGGCCATGTCTTCGGCCTTACCATACCGCAATAGTGGACACGATGCCAATACCCTGGCTCTGTCTTTACCCCTCTCCACATCTGCCACGAGACCCAGCGACTGACGTAACGCTACTATTTTTTATTCACAGTATAATCACTACTCGAAGTCCCTCGCCGCCGGCATCCAAGGGCGTGGCAGCCAGCTGGGTATCCTCCGCACTCTCTCGTGCAGCTAGGCATTACGCACTCGATGCAAGGTCGGCGCATATTCGCCCGCTCCGATGCCTCGACACGCCAATCACGCCCTGCCATGCTGCACCACCACTGAGGCTGTGCTGTCATACTTGACTTTCTCTAGCCAATCTTGCGACCCCCGGCTCCTTTCCGTCCATTCACACTTGTCCTGCGCGAATAACTGCCAGGCCGTTTAGCCCTCGAGCCACAACCCACCAGCTTGGTGGCTTGGGCGCCCATTCCGGCTGCATACCGACTAGCAAAGCAGGTGCAAACGACGCAGAGTCTCGATGCATCTCTAATCTTCAGCTTCTTACCAGAGGCCTCGTATGCACTTACCTGGCGCAGTTGTGGCTCACCCTCCGTACCACCGTCCGCCAGTGTGGCTACCCTATTGTGTACAACTGCTGCTAGTATTCTACGTCAGCATGTCTCTCGGACAACCTGCCGGCGCCAGTCCCGTCGACACATCCATCTTTGTCGTGCGCCAGCTTTCTCCCACACCTGTCAAGCCTGTCAGCGTAAGATTCTACCCGGCCGTAAATTTTGATCTACACTCTCCCCTCCCTCAAGCGGAGTCGGACTTGGGTTCCGGCAATCTCCGTCCCAGTCCCATGGAGCAACTCAACACTACCTGCTTCCCCGAATCCACTGGCCACGATATCTTCAATTCTTGAAACACTCGTCTTGAGACAACAACGTCACAGCTGCCACTTCTCGACGTGCGCGGGGGTCCTGTTGTCCAATCAAACCCGCTGAAAACCGCTCATGCTTCCTGTCTAACTAGCCACCCATGGTAAGATGAAGACAGACCCTGCCTATCAGATCCGCATCGCAGGTACAGAGTCAGTCCATGCGATACCGATAATCGGCAAACTTCAAGCCAAGTTAGACTGTGCATCTTTCTTCAGCAGCAGAAATTTCGCGCTCGAGCAAGGCTGTACAAAAGACGCGTCACCAACATGCACCTGCACATGGACGAATATTATCCAGCCTAGACAGTTGCAAGAGACAACTGCGAGCAGTGCCATCTGAGGCGTTGAGGGTAATACTACACGCGGGCTTACACCGGTCTTGATTGCAAGGCCATGCCTACAAGTCTTTGTCAGACACAGCATTGGCAGAGATTATGCAAGGCAGAAAACCACTTGGCCGGCCTTATACAATCCATCATAGCCTTTTGATCTTCTGAAGCATCCAGCCTGCAACGATGAGAAATCAGATTTGCCAACATCTCCCAGTGTGCTATCCTTGGCGCCTCATCTGCGTCTCTCAAGTGCCATTCAAGAGGCCGCGTCAACAAAGGGAACCTCTCTTGTAGCCAAACTGCTTCTAATCTCCTGATGTCCTAATTGGCAAGCCGCAGCATTCTAGTTCGCTGCGCCTGAGTCTGTTTCTTATTCCCAGCGAGCCGCATGCCGCCCGTCCGCTTGGTCCGCGCACACGCACGAAGCATTAGGCAAACCATCTCCTATCCGCAACAGCTTCAGCATCGTCCTCGACAGAGGCTCGAGCACGCATAAAGAACCAAAGAGAATTGCAACCGCTTATCGGCCCGTCCCAAACCATGAAAGGGGTCTAGTCTAGACCCGGCTGCCAGACCTTCTCAGACCCTGACCCAATATCTGGCTGAACTCTTACCCATAGAGCTACAGAACAGAGTCTGTTTCACGGTGTTCCACGCCGAAGACCAGTCGGCCTATGCAGAACGCAACAAGTCAAGTCTTCGAGACGGACCAGGCCATTCTGATGCGACACGCGTCTCGTCATGCTCGGACCCAGAACCAAAGGTCGGTGCACTACCTGTCAAAGTAACAGCAAGCCTCATGTATCCCCCCGGATCTTCAGTCTTGGTGAGCTTAATGCAATACGTCTGTTTCAGAGAAGACAATCTCAAAGTGGAACTTGGGTGAGTACTACGATGGCAACAGAAAGTAGGTTTCGCGTAAGGTGCTACTCTACTGTTCACCGTCCGCGGATGACTTTGTTAAGCCTCATTTCTGAACTCAATCGTTGTCCTGAGTCGTGAAAAAGACTAGCGATCTTATCAAAGAATGTCAAACTCTATGGGTTGCACTGCCTACCTCGTCCAAGTAAGGAGCTGCTCATCTATAGACCAACCCATTACATTGGAAATCACAAAAAGTCGGTCTTGCAAATCAATATCATGGTAAGCAACAGTGGTCCAAGTTCTTCAGGTGGCGACCTGACACTGGGTGGTAGAACTCTTAGAGAAAAATAGAAGAAACAAAACTCTTGGAAGACAAAGTACCGATGGTATTTCATAATACATGGATATGCACAAAGCATCCAAGCTTTTCACCACTACCTATGTCCAACTTCGGACTCGTTGGCCAAGAAGCCATGGATATCCTCATCCACGCTACCGGGTTCCCGCCCCGTTCCTGTAGTCGTACTGTCGCCACCATCCTCGATGACCGGCGATGGTTGCTGTTGCTGTTCATACTGCGCACTATCGGAGTCCATCTCGTACTGCGAAGCCTCAAGCTGCCGCTTCAACATACTTCCCTCCAGCCCCGCGACACCACCCCTCCCTTCACCACCTATGCGGTCTCCCATTATCTCATCGTCAAATCCCAATTCGCGAACCACTCTTATGAACATAGCCTCCCCTTTCCGATCCCCTAGGATACCGCCCCTTGCCACACCCTCCCCCCTAGCAACATCCCTCACAATAGTCTTCGCCCTATCAAAATCTCCGTCTCTTGCTAGCGCCTTGACAACGGCTATCAAAGCACCCCAACCAGGTAAGTGTTTCCGCTTGCTCATACGCGCGAGTACACTCATCATCTTGCCCACTTCACCGAAGCTCGCGTACCCCTCGAGAAGCCGGTCGAAGAGCACGCTGTCGCTGGGCATACGGGGTGCGCTGAAGAGACGGAGGACGACGTCATCAACGCCAGATATGTTAGGTGGCTCGGATTGGAAGTAGTGTGTGACGATAGACGTGTAAGCATGTACGCTCGGAATCAATTTTCTGTTGGCCATATGTTCCAGGACCGCGCGCACAGCGGCATGATTGGCGTATTTCTTCAACAGACGATCAATGGCCGTAGAGTAGATGTAGTCGTTCATTTTGATACCACTGGCTTCCAGATCGTCAAGCATCTTTAGAATGCGCGAAGTTTGTTGAGCTTCGGATAGGTTGTCAAAGGTTTGGTTGTCAAATGCGGCGCTGATAAGCATTGCGTGCGTTGCCGCGTCGCCCTCTAGCCCATCCTTTTCCATCTGCGAGAGGATTCTAAAGGCGGTGGATCTATCGCCTGCGTTTAAGTAGAGCTTTATAAGAGAATTGTAGGTTATGGCGTCAGGCTTGATTTGGAAGTTCTTCGACCATGTAAGGAGTTTCTGAACGAATTCTACTTTCTTCTCGTGGCTCATGTCTCTGGGACGGAACTGTACGATGGCAGATAGGGCACCGTTGACAACTTCGATAGAGGGCTTTGTGCATGTGTTGACTGCCTTGCTCAACGATGACTTTTTCGGACCTTTTTGTCCTTTGGCAAGCGCCTGGGCGTTGTTGATGGCATTCTCTGCTGCAACCCAGCGCTTGGCCATATCGTCCATTGCGACAAAGGCCTTGTTGATCTGCTTCAGAGACACCAAGCCATTGATACGCGTCGTCCAAGCATAGTTACTGGGCTCAAGACCAGTGTTCAACATGCGCTGCCACATTGCATTCAAGCCGTTGAGGTCTTTTGCTTTTGCGCAGCCTTCCAGAAGCGCCACCCAGGAATGCATGTTTGGCTTGACATTGTGGGCAATCATGTGGTTCCAGATCTCAACGGAGCGTTGTGGGTGGAAAACAGTCATGTACCCAGAAAGAAAGGCGTTGTATATGGACGGAGGTATGGCAGCAATCTTGTTCTCCGTGGTATATTGTTCCTCAACTTCTTTCCAGATACCGTCCAGTGCAGTCGCTGAAGTTTTGGTCTCGACTGCACGCGCTATCGTCTTCATGAAGAATGCTTCTAAGTTGGAGTACGCATCACCGGTGTTATCTGCTCCAAGAGTCTCACCACTTTTTCCGATAGCCACCATGGCTTTCCCGGGCACAGCATTAATCTCTCGAATGACTTGGTCCTGTACATCTTCCGGCAATTTTTTGAAATCCGGGCTATGTGTAAATATGAAAATCGAGTCTACAAACGAGCCGGCGAGTAGTCGTGTAAGAAAAGCCAGAAAAGGTGCGGCTTGCTTGTGTGTCGCCGGGTCTAACGCGTCCGAGATGTTGTAGAAGTAGACGGCGCAAAAGGCCAAGGCAGGACTCGCGACATAGTTAGGTATGTACCCTTGTAAGCGCATATTAAACTGCTTTTCGTCAAGCATCTCCGGGATTGCCTCGGTGCCTGGTATGTTCCATTCGGTACTAATCGACTCCATTGAACCATTCTTTGGTCCCACGCATTGGAAGAAAAGCCGCCATACGGACAACAGCTCTTGGAGCAGTGCATGAAGGTCTCGTTTCGCCCCAGAAGGTGAATTCACAGCCGCTATGATTTCAAGCGTCAAGTGAGCTATTGTCGGCCTCACCCAATAATCAGGGCGAGCAATGCCGAGTTGTTGGTATTTAAAGAGGACCTTGGTTGGGGTCACCGAGTTGGTTCTGCCCTCACAAAAGGCACGTGTGACGGCTCTGAGGAGGCGCGCAAATATCTTGTCCTCACTCAGCAACTGCAAATCACGATCTGTTGGCTCGGCCAGAGCCTTGCAGTCTTTTGCGGTGTAAATGCTCTCAAACAACTGCCAGGCTCGATTGATATTCCGTTTGTAAAGGGCATCGAGCACGGGATCAGCATGAGCCCGCTCCGCTTGTGACAACCTCTTCTGGCCTGCCTCACCAGATGCACGTTCCCCTTGGCTACCAGTGTATGTCGGGGTGTTTTCTGTATCGTCGTATATGAGTTTGGAGTATCGGGAGAGGGGCTGGCGGATTCGTGGATTTGAGAGGTTTATATCAGGTCCATTGCGATTCGCCTCTTGTGCAGACTCTTCCTCTTCTTTCGCAGGGGCCGATGCTTCTTGTCGCAATGGTTCGGCATTGTCGTTTGGTTTGTGGCCGGCCAGCGAAACGATCGTGGCTCTAGGTTGCCATTGAGGGCTTCGGGTGGGGGCGATGCGTCGAGATAGACGTGTTCGACACTGCCGACACACGTATGCGCCTAGCATAGTGCTGTAACAAGCCTGCGAGTGTTGGAGGTACGAACGCTGGGGACGACGGTTAGCTCGTACAGTAGAAACTTTTTGTCGCAAGCCTCTGTACACCTGCAAAAACAAATCAAGCTCTCATCAGCGCAAGTTTGTCAGTCCAGAAGAAGGAGAGGTCCGGTACACTCGATAGAACGCTCTCCGTAGCCTGACCTACGCGGGGATGGGTGCTGTTCCAAATCGCGTGCAAGTGTCGCGATACTACGCGGAATACCTCCGACCAATGAGACGCCATGACGTCCGCACGCCGCACGTGACTGAGGGCTTCTCGAGAAACGTCTCTGTTCCGATTCTACCTCGTTGTGCATCATCTCTAGTGCAGAAGAGAATCCAAGCATACCCTTTTCTCTCAATTCTTACGTCCAAATCCATTGATAGAGCGCGCGATGACTACCCTGATACCGCGGCAGTTCTATTCGCAGGAAGAGCTCGATAAGCTTTATCCAAAAGAGCTTGAACTACAGCTCGTACAAATCGTAAGCACCAATAATGTAGCATCCCCTTGTGCTACCGCTGACTGAAACACTAGCTACTTCGCCATGGTGAGGTTCCTCCGCATCTTACCGACACATCCATAAGCCTGGATACTAACGTATACATCTAGGCGAAAGAAGTCCTGTATCACCTCGCTTTCAGAATGTAGGCGTCTGCATCACGAATTGCCAATGCGGTTGTTGACACCAACATTAGACTGGATTGCCACCCTACTGGCCATACTGCAGTTCCGCCCGACAACTCACTAGTATAATCCTGAATACCAAGGACTTTTCGAAATGGGATCAGCTCAAATACCGACGCCGCCTCGAAACCTTTGGCATGGATGATGGCCCTGTTATCGCATCGGGCCCTCAGGGCGAGTTTGATGCCATATGCCAGCCCGGTGAACTTACTGATAAGGGCCGTGAGACAACTCTAGCCCTAGGAGAGCGCCTCCGCCATCTCTATGTCAATCAACTGAAGTTCATGCCTCAGCTCATCTCAGATAGCGATATGATCTACCTGCGCGCGACACCTATTCCACGTGCCCTGGAGTCTGTTCAACAAGCCTTCTGGGGCTTCTATCCACCATCAGCACGAACTGCTGACTTCCCTCCACCAACCATCATTCAAAGAACTCCAGCTGATGAGACACTCTTTCCCAATGATGCTAGCTGTAGGCGCTTTGCTCAACTAAGTCGAGCATTCGCGCAACGCGCTGCTGAGCGTTGGAACGACACAGATGACATGCGTTACCTCACCAAGGTCCTCTCCAAGTGGATGCCTGAGCAGCAAAAGGTAGCCGTGGACTCTCACCCTCGACTCTCAGGTATAATGGACACCCTCAATGCTACAGATGCACATGGGCCCGAAACCAAGCTACCAAAAGAGTTCTATGACCCCAAGGCTCGCTCAATCATTGATAAGATCGCGGTTGAAGAGTGGTACCAAGGCTACAATGAGTCCTCCGAGTACCGAATGCTCGGCATTGGTGGCTTGATGGGTGACATCACCTCGCGAATGGTCGGCAGCGTCGAACGCAATGGCAACTCTGGCATTGTAGAAGTTGGAGGCGTAGACGGCAAGTTAGGCAAGGGTCGAGGCGGCGAAACCAACATCCGCTTTGCTGTAAGTGTCCTTGTACCAACTACATGTGATATATGCCCTAATCTCACACACCCACGTTTAGATGTCCGGATGCCACGATACGACACTAGCCGGTGTCCTAACATCTCTCGGCGCTTTTGACGGCGAAAAGTGGCCCCCATTCACATCCCACATCGCCGTTGAAATGTTCAGAAAGCGAAACTTTCCTGGCATTGAGCAAGCACCTACTCCTACGGAACAGAACACTGCCACCAAGAGTCAAAGCTGGTGGTCCTCCCTCTTCGGCAGCACAAAAATCTCATCCGACTCCAGTCTCGCACCAGAAGGCATAGCACGTAAACCCATCACTGATCTCACACCCGCCCAACGCGATCAGCTAAACGACTACTACGTCCGCCTCCGCTACAATGACAAGATTATGCAGATACCTGGCTGCAAAGCTCCCGGTAAGCATTTAGAGGGCGATACTACTTTCTGCACGCTGGACGCATTTAAAGCTATCGTGGATAAGTATACACCAAAGAACTGGAAGGCAGCTTGTACGAGTCGGCTTGGTGAGCCGGCTTTCCCCGCAGTGGTCGAGCCGGCCGGTTTTGAGTAGAGGGTATGTGATGAGTGGAGATGATTGGTTGAGAGTTAAAGATATAGGGGATGCGAATAGACATTACTTCTTTTTTTTTTAGAGAGATATATATGGCCTGAATAGAGAAAGAGAGTATGTCCTGCAATGTCCCTGAATATATACTACACCGTTAAGACACTCGCTACATTATCTGCTGGTAGAAGCACAACACGAAACCATGGCGTAAGACATGCACCCTCTAGTAGGCTGATGTCACCATACCAGATTGAACGTCCTGTGGGAAGCATCGCAGTATTGGATTCTTCCGATTATCTATTACATGCACCTTTCATATCTTGTACATGGTTGGATTTGGTCGCCTTAGAAAATCTTCGGTCTGACTAGGACCGTCTCCCATAACACAGGCGACCCACAACTACAGAACTCCAACCGTCAGTGTACACATTTCTAGGGAAATGGCTTAGACCACCAACATTGAACTCCATACTCTATACAAGCATCGTAGTATTACAGCTCATAAGCACTCATGCTAACGTTTCATCATAGTTCAATCCTTTGAAACCGTGGGTAAAGCGCGCAGAGACCTAGAGCACTTGTCAGCATACATGCAACAAGACCAGAGTGTCCAAGCGCATTCCACTAACTCGTAGAAGCCTCATCGACAACTCTATCCGATTGCCGTATGATGCCTGTGAAACGCCCTGTACCACCAGCGAGAAGACCGTCGAACTCGACAGCCTGCGCAGCTTCAGTATCATCCCAGCCGGTACTCAAATTCCAACCCGCATTGAGCGCAGCAAGCTCGGAAGGCTCAATCTCCTGCATAATGTCTCCCAAATAAGCCCACTTGTTACTTAGCATAGCGGGAGCCAAAGCGATTGCTCGCTTGTTGAATGCTGGGTTGCGCAACATGGCTGCGATATTACGAGGATCGATGTCAGATTGATCAAACGACGCGTGAGTAAGCTTTGCATAGCCACAAGAAACAAACTCGACCGATCGTAGTGAGGTGATACGATCGCTGTCGGCTTTGGAATGATCTGACTCAAAGTCAGAGAGATTAGTGCCGGGTGAGATCTGATCAATAATGTCCATCCAAGAGCCTTCACGGGGCTGTGCCTTGAGTATCGACTGTGGATTCCCAGCAGTGTGTCCGGTCGCTGGCGCGGCAACAGGTGGAGGCTGAGCCTGGCCTGTAGCAATCTGAGTCTGCAATTGATGGATCTGAGTAGCCAACTGGGCAACATTCGCAAAGTGCTGAGCAAATGTCCCAGGCTGTTGGTGTTGTACCTGCGGTTGTGTCGGGGCCTGAGCCTGACCTTGAACCTGACCTTGATGGTGATGCTGATGTCCTTGATTGTTTTGGATCTGTCCAATTTGCTGCTGCAATTGATTTTGTAAAGCAGCAATGTTGTTGTTGTGTTGGATGCCAGCTGCGTTGGCCTGTAGATGCTGAAGTTGCATCTGGAGCATCTGGAAATAAGCATGTAAGAACTGCGGTTGATTTGGCATCAATTGCGGACCATGAGCACCAACAGCACCCAACAATGCGCCCACTCCAGGTGGCGGCATTATGTTCTGAAGTGCTGCTGCCTGATGAGCTACATTGTTTGGGTTGACATTCGGTGGGCGCAACACAGCCGTAAGTGATACGGAATCCAGTACCAAATTTTGCAGCTTATGGCGATCATGTAACTTAACGAATTGCAACAAAGCTGATGGTGTAACCCAACAGTTGTGCAAGACTAGCTGCTCGACATGAGGGAGTCGTAGCAAACATTCTTCCAAGCAAGCGGCGTCGGTTGAAACCAGCCCTGTAGGGTGGAAAGAAGAAGGTTGCGCACGAACTCGCAGATCCACAACGGGAGCAGGGAACAACAATTTATTCCTTGCGTGAAGTCCTTCGGCATGCTCACCTCCAGTGACGAAACCGACTTTCAAATGACGAATATTCGACCGACAACTAATATGATCATGAAGAAGGTCGAAAAGCACACCGATGCTTTGGGTTGGATTGGTCTTTGGCGTGTCCACGAAGCCAGCCTCGTCTTTCTCTACTGTTCGCCAGCCTGGTATTAGCATGAGAGTGACATTACGAAGATTGGGCAGTGCATTCCAGAAGTCCGAACGATTTAGCATTGGCAGATAACGATCAGAGAGTCCTGAAATGTTGAAAGTGTGTACTGGCTGGAATGTAATCGGATTGTCGATGACAGAGAGCAAATACGAGGACATGAAGGCCCGCTGTGCCCATTCAGTCTCTAACAACCATTCCCTCTGTGCTGTGGTAAGGTTGGCAGGTATGACAGGGTTCACAAGCTGCGCCCCTTCCGATGGCAATTTGGTCGACGAAAACAGAATGCCTGTGCCTGAAGGTGACGGTGTTGACACAAACTGGTCCAGGACATATGGGTCATCAAAGCTAGGGGGAACAGGGATGTTAGCAGCATCAAAAGGAATTGCTGCGCGTAAAAGCTGAGGATCCAGATAGGGCATTTGCGGTTGCACGTCTGCTAGCTTGTTGGCTTCTTTCAGCTTGGAAAGAGCGGGTTGTCCGTCAATCCTGTACAACATAGCCAGCTTGACTTCGCTGGCATCGTTCTGATGACATGCTTCAATGTGTTTCCAAAGTTCCTGCTGAGCTTGCGCTCTGCGATCTGGAACAGCTTTGGTTGTGCCAAAGACTTGGGGAGGTCTATGCAACACACGTGCCCGAATGGATCTGTCCGGGCCGTTTAGCCACCCTAGGCCACTGTCAAGGGACAATGCTAGTTCTTTGACTTTGGTGAGCTCGGAGAATGCTGTCTTCATTCGTGGTGTTTCGTCAGCGGCAGTCTCAAGGCCGGCGACAGCAGCAAAGCGGCGATATTGTTCGTAAGGCCAATCGTAACTTCCCCAAAAGCTCGTCTTTCTCTCTGTGAGTGACTTGACGGGCGGCATGGAGAGTGAGTCTTCACTGACTTCGAAACTCATACCAAACTTCCTGATGTGTCCACCAAAGCCGCGGAAAACATCAAGACCATGGCCATTATACACTTCGTCTCCGTTTGCATTTTTCCACGAATAGCTAGGCTTATCTATTCTTGCTCGCCTTTTGCCCTTGAGGTCAGGCTTTGTTTCTTGTCCCAGCATACCGTATATCTCGGTGTTGAAGGGAACGACGACTGTCTGGAAGATGACCTGGGAGACATATTGGTTCAGCTCGCGGCTTACAAGCCGCAGTGCTTTGATGTCGTCACGGTCGAGGTGCTCCGCGATGAGCTCCACTAATTCCACAGGCAGCTTCCATTCGGGGCGATGAATTGGGGCATCAGGAAGAAGGTCCTGCAACCCTTTATCTGGCTGAGCCTTTGCTGCTTTCTTACCATTCTTTTTGGATGAACGAGGCTTTGATATCAAGTCGGATGCAGGTTGTTTATTCTGAGGTTGTCTATTCTGGTCTAGTAAGAAATATTTGGCGGGTAGTTTTGCTGAGCTGCGGCATTCGGGCCAAATGTCGTTCGCGTTGGGATTTGGGCTGACACTGTTGTATAGCATGACGGCAGTGGCACCCTTGCATTGCAAGGAGTGTGTAACATCCATCTCGTCGACACCCTCGTAATTGTCAAGTGATCGCTTCCGAGCATTGAGTTCCGTAAGGCCGCGATACACGTGGTAGGGTGCAGGTAGATCTGTTCGAGGTCTTCTCCTTACAAAGTGCATGCCTGATGAGGTGGTTCGCGCGTTTTCGAAGTCGTGGTCTTCAGGGCGATTGCGCGACGAGTAAAGACGGGGAACAGTTGCGGGATGGTCAAAATCCTCCTCTCCCAACGAGTCCGAATCGTCTTCACCTAACCAATCGTACTGTAACGCGAAAGCAAGATCTCGTTCGTACGAGTCGGCTGAATTTGAGTCTTGGCCATCTTGTGTTTGGGCTGCAGCAGTCTGTGATGTAGAAGCCCAGGGCGAGTTTCTATCGGTCGCCCCTGGTCCACGCCGAAAGTTCTCTCTGTGTATGCGGTCGCGTGGGGCCAAGGGTCGGGAAGGTGTCAGCGGGGTTGAAGATGTCCCCTCCTCGGGTGCAAAGAAGGAATGAGTGGTAGGCTGGAAAGGGTTCGATGAAGTAGTCGCGGCTTCTGGACGTGGAGAGGGCGTGGGACTAGCAAAGATAGATGCAGGCTATTGCATGTGAGCATTCAGACAGGAGCAAGGGGACGTGTGATAGCGGCGGCTGCAGGTGAAGTTTGACGTACCTGACTTGACGCGTTTGCTTCAGGCAGAGGACGCACTCCGTTTGTGGAGCGCAACGGTCTTCTCGACGGTTCCCTTTGTTCGGGAACCTTGCGCGCTCTGCCATTGTTTGCCATGATGTTGCGATCTGTTCTGTCGAGCCTTGGTTGATACAGGATATCGCATCAGTTCAGATGGGCGCTGGAGAGTACGCGGAACAGCGGCAACACAATGCAACACCCATCAAAATGTGACGTGACGCTGTCATGTATCGGCGTGGATGTTTGAATGAATATCAGGGAGAGAAGGCATAGAGATCAGCACGCATGTCTGTGGAGAGCGGTGAGGTTTGGCATGCTTCAATCACAAGCTCGAACCCGACAGGTTGTTTGCGCTGGAGCCGCAAAGCAAACACGCCCCGCTTAGACCCTGCACGATGTCATCCCACTCTGCGAACCATCCCCAGATCTCCGCATCTGCGCCCCAGCCGCATGTGAAAACGCCCCCCTAACGCCGACATCATCTCAGCAATTGCATCTCCAGCATCCGTACTGCCTGTAGTAATTTCAGCATGACATCAAGTTTCCGCGACGATCAAGGTCATATCTTACTTTCACTGTGCATCTCTGTGAGCATAGACTGGAGCGCACACCGCGATATTTGTTCGCGGAACAGCCCTATGACCCCACTGCAAAGCAACCATGCCTGGGAATGCTCATGCGAAAGTAATGTTCTGGAATGTGTTGAAAGATCAGGCGTCCTTCGACAGCCTCACAGACCATGTGCGGACCGCGGAAATCCGCTCCGCAAGGCTGCAACATAAACAATCTGCCACCGCTAGATATACGTACCTCAGAGCCCCAACATTCAACGTTGTAACAAAATCTTAAGCACATGATCACGGTCCGTTGAAACAACAATGTCTATCACTACTCACTCACCATTTCTGGCTCTTCCGCGCGAGTTGCGTGACGAGATCCTTGGCTACCTTATTCTACCCCAATACGTTTACACATCAACCTCGACCAAGGATACACAGAATCTGTACAAATCACGCCAAAGCGCCATTGACACTTACCTCGATACGCGTATCTATCTGCCTTCTCGTCCGCCTGCGAACATCTTGGCCACTTGTCGGCAGCTGCGAGAAGAGTGCCTGGAACACCGTCTTGATCCAACAATATCTGTAGCACTCTCAACCCCCGAGAATCGACCCCTCAGCAACATCCTAGCTGAACGATTAGGGACCGAATTTGCTGAGGAAGCAGAGCGTGCCTTCGATGATGACACCCCACGAATCACGCTGGAGATTCAGAGACAACTACGTGGGGCTCATGGTTACTATATTCCAACACGCGACGAGGTTTCACCTCGGCTTTTGGCACTACTCCCAATCATGGAGAGGAACAAGAAGCTGAGATTGACCCTATGGCCTGGTTACGACTGGTGGAACGGTGGCCCACCCGTCTTCATCGACAAGCGTGGAAATGCTCGAACCAACCCTGGTGAGGCAGCGAAGCCTAACGCTGCCTCGGTTGCCATCAGTCGAATGCTTCAGCACTTCCCCAATGTCGAAGAACTCAGTGTAGATGTGCTTATGCAGGCATCTGACGGCGGCAGATGGGACCTACCGGACAAGAAATGGGAGAATATTCAATCATGGCTGGACGCACCGATCATGCCTAACATGGAACAGACAGTAAAGAAGGTGACCAGGAAGCTCGCCGGTTTCTGGAAAGCATCAGATCCAGAGTCCTTTTACGTACAACAGGAAATCCGTCAATCGGGCAATACCTGGAAGGTCGACCGGAAGGGTGATATGGGCACTGTGAGTCGCTCAGATTACATTTGTTCGCTCGTCTCTAACACTTGCAGCCCACAATGAAATCCTTTTGCGATACCGGCAACGAAGGCGACATGGAATTCCTTCGATCGCTCGTAGTAGAGGAGTCTTTCGTCCGTACCGACTAGAGACTGCCCGGCTGACGTCAGGTCAAGATCCCACGCATGAGTGCCGGAAAATTATTGTGGCCTCATTTCCTTAGTCCCACCGACGTTTATATTGGCTTCATCAAGCATCGGCGAAATGTTTCAGGCGCATGGCATGACTTGTGGAGAACCCTGACTTGCCGGGCAGGGATCCATCGCCTCGGAACATAACCGTCGCAACGCAGAATCGATGCACATCACCAACAAGGCCATATGTGAAGATCTCATAGCTGATCGGTTTCTGGGGTTCTTCCGCCGGTTATATTATCGCTAGTATGCTGTCAAATCCACCAATCTTCCAGGTAGCCCTCACACCTTACTCGGGTGATCGACAAGTACGCGGCCTGACCATGGGACACCCTGGAGAGGAGTAACGGCTCCTTTCGGAATAGTCGCTTGACATGTACATACCTTCGAAACAACGGAGGTAGACTACCATTACAGATACTCCGTGGGCACGTTCTCCTCTTTTTATCTCCTTGGCTCGTATGTATGTTTGGCGTTGTACTTAAGCTTGATCGAAGCCTACCTAAATATCCACCATTGAATCTAAATCCATATCGACCACTACACTCCTTACATCTTACTTCTTCTACCACATTTCAATATGAAGTTCAGCGCACTCCTTATCGCCAGCACGGCATCGCTTGCCCTCGCTGTACCTACCGCCACCATCCAGAAGCGTGCGGACTACTGCGGTCAATGGGACAGCACCGTAACTGGTGACTACACCGTTTACAACAACCTCTGGGGCCAAGCCGATGCCACCTCTGGTTCTCAATGCACCGGCGTTGACGGCCTCAGCGGCAGGTCCCTCAAGTGGCACACATCGTGGTCCTGGACTGGCGGGTATGTCCTTTTCTCACTCTGCTGTTAATTCCAACACTGACAAAATTCGCTTCTAGTCCTGGACACGTCAAGTCCTACGCCAACGTCGTCACGAAGATCACCCAGAAGGCAGTCTCTTCCATCAAGTCTCTCCCCTCTGTCTGGAAGTGGACCTACGCAGGCGATGACCTTGTCGCAAACGTCTCCTACGACCTCTTCACCTCTTCAAAGGTCGACGGCTCCCCAGAGTACGAGATCATGATCTGGGTTGGTGCCCTTGGTGGTGCTGGTCCCATTTCCGCTACGGGAAGCCCCATTGCTACCGTCAACCTTGCTGGCAACACCTGGAAATTATACAACGGAAAGAACGGACAGATGAATGTCTTCAGCTTCGTTGCAGAGAAGCAGGTTAACAACTTTAATGGCGACTTGATGACATTCGTCAAGGAAATCACGAGCAAGCATGGTCTGCCTAGCAGCCAGATCTTGACTAGTGTCGGTGCTGGAACTGAGCCTTTCTCTGGTAACAAGGCGAAGCTCACTGTTACTGAGTACAGCCTGAGCCAGAGCTAAATGCGTCGTCATCTCTGAGCTTGACTGAAAATCAAGTAGTTGTGGAGGGACTACTTCTTTGTACATACATTTCCTCCTTTATTCTGCGCATACTTTCCATGCTGCATATATTTACTTCAATGCATACTTGGACTTCAGCTCCTCCTGCTATCACGAATTTTGAAACTCGCTCGATTGAAGTCGTGGTTCGCTCTTCTGCCTCGCTCCGAAGGGCCGACGTTCCTGCTGCATGTTACACAAGGCAACCACAGTTCGTATTGCCCGATCCTAGGCACATCTCAGCTGCATCATTGGAGGCCTGACGGATAAGCTTCAACAAGTCTTAACCAAGCTCTCAAGCCAAGCAGCGGGTGGGTATGAACAATGTATTTCGACCCTGATCATCGGCCTTACTGACTGAAACAACACTGACCCACATAACGAGGCGGCAAGGAGATGGCACCTAAGATAGCGATTATCGGTGCAGGTCCCGGCGGCTGCATACTCGCACGGCTGCTGCTCACCCAGTGCGACTGCAGGACCATCATCTTCGAAGCCGAAAGCTCGATCAATTACCGTTCGCAAGGTGGTACCTTGGACTTGCGCGCCGATACAGGCCTCGCTGCAATTAGGACGGCAGGCCTGTGGGACGAGTTCCAGAAGTACGCCCGCTACGATGGCGAGAGTTTGCTAATCACCGATAAACATCTTACAACGTGGTTGAGAAGAGGTGGCCGGAAGACGGAAGATGTAAAAGGAGGTTCAGGTGATGCACCGGAGATTGATCGTACGGATCTGAGGAAAATGTTGATGGAGAGCCTACCTCCTAACACCGTTCGTTGGGGATACAAGCTGTCGCGTGTTGAAGAGTGCAGCACGGGGCTAAGGTTAATATTTGCGAACGGAGATGTGTTGGATGGTTTCGACCTGATCGTGGGTTGTGACGGCGCATTCAGCAAGACTCGCAATTTGTTGACGTCGGAGAAGCCTCATTACTCCGGTCTAGGTGGCTGGACAATGTTCATCCCCAATGCCGAGCACACAGCACCAGAAGTGTACAAACTTGTCAACAGAGGCAGCGTGTTCGCATACTCGGACGGCAAAACTCTAGCCATACAGCAGCTCTCCGATGAGTCAATCTACGTGTCCTACTACGGCCAGCATCCAGAAGACTTCACTCAAACATGCGGTTTCGATGCCCAGAGCGACATCGAATCAGCAAAAACAGTATTGAGGAAGTCATTGCACGACTGGCGACCGGAGCTTCTGGACGCTATCGAAAAAGCGACAACGGGAATCGTGTGGAGGAATCTCTACCAACTTCCCGTAGGATTCACCTGGCCGCACAGGCCAGGCGTCACGCTTTTAGGCGACGCAGCGCATGTCATGACTCCGTTTGCAGGTATCGGTGTTAACACAGCTTTCAACGATGCTATGGTTCTCGCCAAGCATATCGTAGCATACAGCACATCAACTTCGTCCGGTGAAGGAGTCGATCATGTGGATGCTCTTGACCGGTACGTCGAGAAATATGAGACGGAAATGTTCAAGCATGCACATGCGGCCCAGCGACGCACCGAGGGAGCAGAAAATGCTATGCTGTTCACGCCCGGTGCTCCGCGGACAAGTATTGAAACATGGGTTCTGTGGCAGGCGGGAGATCAAGTGCCTGTATGGTGTCGACCGTTACTTGCGATAATCGTGTACGTGGGGTTTTGGGTATACAAGCTGTTCGTGTAAAGCTTGTTTGCACAAGGTGGAAGTATTCTGGAATTGTTCGCGGTGTTGCTTCGGAGCGGTTTGACAGCCTGTCGCGTAAGATAACATGCGGAGCTGCGTACTCCGACCTTTCGACGCCACTCTCGCTTCCGCTCTCAACCATGACTTATCTTGATCATACCTCGGTAGACACTGTTATTTACCGTTTTCGATCTACAAATGCACCTTCTCAATCTATCCAAGTCGACCCGCGAAATATTGGGAAGCTTTTCTTACTACAGGGCAAGCTTATCCACTGCGGCCCATATTGACCAATAAGCACAGAGCACTCACGCATGTGCACCGGCGCCGTACTGCATCTCTACTGTAGCCCAGCTGCTACAGCAAATCAGAAAAGCTGCAATTCTGCTGATGACGAATGACCACTGGGTTGCGTCCTCAACTTTCCTACATTGCGATGTTCGCCCCGCTACCGCGAATCCCACCATCCCGTGCCTACCCTACAAGCATGACAGCATGCTGGCTCCACGAGCTGTGATTGGGATGCCGCTATTCAGGAACAGAAGCTCCTGCAGGCATGACGCAGTAAAAACATGAGAATACATGGGCATGGCTCACTTCGAGTCGGATAGCTCGAAAATGGCTCAACATTCTTGAAGCTACAAAAAGGCCTAGAGAGCCGGTAGATTTGGGCTTGCAAGTTCGATCGGCGCTCTACTTAGCAGCCGTTTGTCAATATGAAGCTTCAATATCTTTCTTTGCTGCCATTGGCATCAATTGCCAGCGCTAGCTGGTCGAAGAACCTCAACTACCGTTCGCCTTCAGAACACCGTTAGTAATGTCCCTGTATGAAGTGCGTGTGGGACGTGTACTGACTTCCTACACCCGTATTCAGACCCAGCTCTTGGTGTTTCCATTCACAAGGTGGTCAAAAGGAACGATCCAGCAAGCAGCTATGCCGCCTCTAGCCTGAGCTTTACCCACGGTGTCGCTTCAGGTGACCCATACCCCAACAGCGTCATCCTCTGGACCCGTGTCGCTCCTCAAAGCGATAACTCGCAATCCAACCTTACGGTCACAGGGTACGCACCTCTATTCGACCATGACAATGAAAAGTACGTCAAAATCTCGAAAGCACCAGTGTGCGTCGAGTACAAGGTTTACGACAACAAGAACGGTTCCACGGTTGTCGACTCCGGAAAGGTCTTCACCAGCTCTGACGTAGACTTTACCGTCAAGGTCGAAGCCAAGAACTTGAAGGCGTACAGCACGTACTACTACCAGTTCAATGTCTGTGGTTCGGAGAACAAGAGTCCTCTTGGACGCACGAAGACTACGCCAAATGCCGACGACGATATCACCGATGTCAGTCTTGCGGTGTACAGTTGCGCAAACTATCCATTTGGTTTCTTCAACGCTTATGGAAATGTTGCCCGCAAGGTAAGTCTAATGGCAATGACGCTACGTACGTTGAGCTGAGTTCAGGACTAGGATTCTGTCGATTATGTTGTTCATCTTGGTGACTACATCTATGAGTACAAGAATGGAGACTACGGGTGGGGCAACTCAATCGACCGTATCCCTCAGCCGGACCACGAGATCTTCACTCTTTACGACTACCGAAGGAGGCTCGCTACATACCGAACCGATCTTGACCTGCTCGCTAGCCACGAGCAGTTTCCGTGGATTCCTGTTTGGGACGATCACGAGGTTGCTGATAACACTTACCGCGACGGCATGTCTGAACTCAACAATACCGAAGACTCCTTCCTCCGCGACGGCGGTGTATCTGTTGACCAGCGCAAGATGAATGCGGTTCGAGCCTACTATGAATGGATGCCAATTCGCCAAGTCGACATGGACGACAATCTCCGCATCTGGCGTTCTTGTAAGTGTCCCTGTACGAACTGGACGTGAGACATGCACTGACTTCGTACACCCATATTTAGTCTCCATTGGAAAACTTGTCGATCTCATGATGCTTGACACCCGTCAATACGACCGTTCCATCACTGATCTTTACTGGAACACAGACTACGTGCACGACATCTCTAACGATGCGGGCCGTTCCTTAATGGGCTCTCGTCAAGAAAACTGGTTTTACCGCAGTCTTTCCGAGTCTGCCGAACGCGGCGCAACATGGCGCATGGTAGGCTCTCAGATTGTCTTCTCGCGCGTCAATCAATCCGCTGCGTATGGAGAAGAAAACCCCCTGAACTACGATGCATGGGATGGGTACCAAGCAAATAAGAACCGTACTCTCAACCACTTGTACAGCAACAACATCAACAACAACATCTTTCTTGCCGGCGACAGCCACGCATCCTGGGTCAGCGACCTCGTCTGGCTCGACGAAAAGAACTACAGCTCTGCGACCGGCGCAGGTAGCATTGGTGTCGAATTCGCTGGCTCAGCCGTCACGTCTCCCTGCCCTTACGGCGCCAACATTACTCTCGCGACCGCCAACAACTACTCTTCTATCATCCAGTCTGCCAACGCTGAACTTCAGTGGCAAGACCTATACTACCGTGGTTACTTTGAGTTGCATTTCTCCCACGAAGAACTCACAGCGAACTTCTTCGGTATGCCAACTGTCGTAACGAGGAATGGCTGGGAAATTCCTATTGCGAATTTCACGGTCAAGAGTGGCGAAAACAGATTACAGAGACCTGTTGCGGGCGGTGTTGTGGAGAGTGGAAGCTTGAAAGGGGGAAAGACTGTGCAGACCAATCTGACAATTGATACTAACAACGGAACATGGTTCGTCAGTCATGCGGATTTGGAAGTGTTGTAGAAGGGGTAAAGAATCGACAAAAAAACTGTCCACGTAGCAGAATCGCATTATATTCCAAAGGTTTTTTTCATGATTGAGGAATTGCTTGATGCTTGGCCGGATGACTCGGCTTATTCGCCCAGCATCCCTAAGCCTGAGCTTCTGCAATCCGCATCATGCGTGACGAAAAGACACTCTAAAACGAGAAAACATCGCAAACAAAAAAAGGCTCCCAAGCCTGAAGTGTACCGCACAACCGACACACATACACAGAATCTGTTCGCCGAAGTGTTTTGACTTTCAGCAGCGCAAGCACTGAAATGATAAACAGCCTGGGCAGTCTTGTCGCTAGTCTTCCGAACCCCGGGTTAACAGCTCGGTAGCGCGCGGAAAGAAGGGTAAAGGGTGAAAAAGGCGGAGAAGAAGCCGCTGTTCTAAGATCTTGGCAGGTGCCCGACTGGTGATGTCATTCCAGCTGTTTGGAGCCAACGGGCCTTCTCCATCCCCAACATCACAACAAAAGTCTAACGGGCCACGAAGCGCATTCAATAGCGTCGTGAACTTCGATTGTAAGCAGACTCAGATGCATGGCCCTGAGCAGATCAGGAGATGAGCGGCATTCCTCCAGGAATCCCACATCACTGCAGCCAAGAACACCTAAGAAAGTTCACTAAACTTTTCCGCTGCGGGCAGTAACGCGAACATCAATCGAGACCCCGCGATCTATTTCGACGTTCTGAGGTACCGATAGCGCCTGACAAGTTAAGTTAGGCCCGCATCGAGACCGGTATATGATGGCGCCTTGGGCACGGCGTCCCTTTGTGTCGTGCACAGCCACGCGGATATGTGGATCATGGCTTGAAAAGGAAGTCTTGGTGAAAGATTAAGCCTGATTGAGAGCCGGGGTAGGACTACGGATCTTGCTCTACCCGCACCAAGATAGCTAGGCGATATCTTGGGGGCGATCACAGGCTTGATCGATGCAAGCTCGCCTTACAAAAGTATGGAAAACTCCGTTACCAAGACAGTGGACGGTGGATTTTACGGCACGATTGAGCGTTGCGACCATTGGACGTGCACACTAGATTTCGATGCGCCTCCACTCTCGTTGGTCGGAATCACATAGCGGGTTGCTTCCACATCAGGCCTCACTGTTTTCGTCTAGGCATGTTGTCAGCAAATCGAAAATACCAAGACCACTACCTACACTGTTGGTCACGCTTTCCGTACCCTTTTCGAGCTCGGCCATGGCGGAGATTATCTCAAATACATGCTGCTGGCTTGGCAAAACCTACCGTCAGGACTTCACCAAGACACCAGCATGCATCTCCAAGAGTTTACCACCGAGTGAGGGGCACTTTGTGCCGTCCACCGATGTCATCGGACCATGTCAAAGGGGAAATGAAGCTGTGCTTTGAGTGAGAAGTGGAGAGCCGCAAACGTATAAAGCACAGCACGAAATGGCCTCAAGTGTTCACCATCAGCAACTCACATCTCTTCCACTCCATCCAAAACCTGCAAAGCTACCATACAACCCTTCAAACTCAAACACCACCCACGATGCATTTCACCACTCCCGCCCTTCTTGCTCTCATCTCGACCCCCCTTGCTTTTGCCGCTCCCTCAGGCACCAAGAGCGACTACAAGAGCGACTGCAAGAAGGATTGGGACGCGAAATGGAACTCACACGACAACAGCTGGAAGAAGAACGAGAAGCTCTTCTACTTCGACGCAGAGTATGTCGTTAAGGCGACTCCGGACCAGGTCATCGCGACCACTGGCGCCCCTGCTCCCGGTCAGCCCGGTGCCAAGGGTCTTTTCAAATACGGCATCAACATCGCTGAGAACACCATCTGCTACAACATCACTCTGAGCGGTGTGACTGGAGAGTATGCGTCGCCTGCACTTACCGCGACGCACATTCACGAGGCTGCCAAGGGCAAAGCTGGCCCACCGAGACTCGTAAGTCTACCCCCTTTCTCTCCCCTATCTTCGAGTTCCTCGCATGCACCACAATAATTAAGACAACTACTAACATACGATCATGCAGGCCTTCCCGAACCCCTCCGGTCCAGATGAGCGCCGCACCTCCGTTGGCTGCTTGAAGGGACCCTTCAAAGTTGGCGTTATCAACATGGCAACTGGAAAGGATCAGGCCGACGGCTTTCACGTGAAGCAGATCGTAGCGAACCCCAAGGGTTTCTTCACTGATTCACACACTGCACAGTTCTCGTCTGGTGCACTTAGGGGTCAGCTTGGATACTAATGCTTGTTATGATGCCGTGGCAGCGAAGACGAATGGTAATCAGGGGTATGTCTAGTACGTCGATAGTGTGTAATGTCTAAGAAATGAACATGTTACTTCGTAGATCTAACACAACGTGGTTCTCTTGATGATGGTTACTGGGACTGATGTAATGAAATGACCTCGATTCGTGGTGGCCGCAACAGTATACGATGGTCAACCAGTCACATTCGTTAACACAATATGTAGGCAGTAGCATATTCAGTGCGATTTGTTGGTCATGAAAGGACGTTACAAAACCAAAAGGATAGGCTGCAAAGACTGAATATGGAAGAGGGCGACCCGAAACTCCGAAATATCAAAGCCAAAATTAGACCGATTGATATTTCTTGGATGCGTGTATATACTTCATTCAGGATTCACTGGTGTGGCTAAGATTTTGTACTTGGTGCTGGTGCCTGCCACCTCACCCTGCATGTAGACGCGTTTTGGCCATAGTTCTACTCTCCAATCAACTCGACTATCTCTTTCTCTCATTCTGTCCCAATGATCTGCATCAGCTGTGTCTTCTCCTATGGTTATTGGCTAGAGCGGGGAAGTTGTAATTCGCTTAGGGTAGATAGAACCAAAATACGGCCCTGCGCTGGATATGGTCATCGTCGAGAGGGGTATTGGAAGACAATCTAGAGCTAGTTACTGAGACTCCGAACTGCAGCGTTCCATCCTGTAGAATACGATGTGCCTTTGGAGTGCATCTTACTAGGCATCAGACGAATCTAAGAGAATTAGCTCATTCATACAAAAGCTCGGCCTGGGTTGTGCTGACATATATGTGATCTCCATTCCTACCAGCAATTCATAATTTGAGACGGACATGCATCGTGCGTGCGGACATGATAGATGTCTGATGATGTGGCACCCGTAGATGAGGATGTCGATGTGGCTGTGTTGAGAGGTTGTTAGCAGCTGCGGCGTAAGGCGATCCGTTTCAGGTTGCCTCCTCAAGTCGTATTCGCAAGGCATCAATATTGGTTACCTTACCCTCAACTACATATTCCTCACTCGCGCATTCCTCCATCACCTTCCACTTGCACCAAAACACATCGGCTCATATTGATTCATCGCGCGACCTTGCATCACGCATTCGCGCACGATCCCACTGTACGAACGAGCGAACAACGCGGCACCCTTCGGACTCTTCATCTGACCGATCTACACACCCCGCAATTAGCCATCCTCGTATGAGAAGGAAGGGCCACTGTTTCAGTATCGCGCAGTACCCGTAAGCCGACGTATTTTCGTTGTGCAAGGGAAGTTGGACAGCGCCCTTGGCCTGCTGTTCTCCCTGGACAGTTTCCGCTAGCGCGTATTGCACACCCGATCAAACGGTACCCCACACGTTACTACAAGCGTCGTCATGGCGTCCACGTTGACAAAGGCGAGCGCATTGTCGCGATGGCAGGCAGGCCTTTCGGAATATGCTCTTGCTGGCTTGGAACTCAAAGGCTGGGTGACCCTACTAGCACTTTTACTCCCCCTACTGTCCCTTGTCGCTCTTAGCAAGTACCGTAAGATGCAATACCAAAGCAAGAAGCCGTTCCCATTCCTCGAGTTACCACAAGAACTTAGAGATATGGTGTATGAGCACTTTCTCGATGATCCTGCATACCCGCCACCAGCGCACAACGAACTCCAGCGCTCAACGTTGGATTGGATGAGACCAGCACGCTGGTCGTCTGCATCCACGTCTCCAGGAACGCGGCAAGAGAGTAAAACCATCTTTCTAGCAAACAAGCAAGTCTATGGAGAATACATGGACATGATCTGCAAGCGCAAGACCTTCCACCTCAGCGTCACCCCACAGACGTACAGGCCAGCTACCGCCTCTCCATCATCGTCTCCATTTTCCCCAACAAACTACACTCCAGTATGGGAGATTTCGCCCACTACACTGTCCAAAGTTCAGAACTGCTCTCTCAAACTCGTCACCACATCCTCCATGCTCGGCGTCACCGACCCCCGCTCCATGACTTCCTCATCCTGGACCCTCGGCCGCCGCATGCGCGAACAACTCAAACACATGTCCTCTGTTCAAACCTTCACTCTCGACGCCAAAGCCCTCGGTGATCCCCTCTGGAATCCACTCTGGATCTGGTACCACGCTTCTCAGTCGCTCAAGCTACTGGGCACGGAGTTCTCGGACACGGTACCACGAGGCCCGCAGCTCACACAGATTACGTTTAGTTTGGACACTTGGAGTCCTGGGGAGAACTATCTGAAGAGGGATGAGAAGTATGGGGGACAATGGATGTGGTATTGTGCGAAGGATCATCTTGTGGGTGCTGACGTGGGAGCCGAGATGACTGTTAGAGAGTTTTGCGGAAAGTTATATCAAGAGTGCAGCATCTGTAGAGTAGATGACGAGGAAGATGGAACTGTGATTTGAAGACGACTTATCGACAAGCCGACCTTGGAGTTGAAACATATCGCGGAGCCGGTTCTCGAAAAGTCTGGTGGGAAAGCAGGCTTGTCTCTTGTACTATTATTTCTATCTTTTGTTTGTGGCAGCCTTTTTTGCGTATGAGATGCGCTCGATTCCATTCCTAATATCATCTTCTTATCGATCTAGTGAGAGACCCTCCCTTTCTTATTTCTTTTCCTCCAGCATTTCCTTCGCAGGTATTGTCGCAAACCGGCTCATGACCTCCATGTTCTTCTCCTTGCTCATCTTGTCATCTGTCTTACTTATCTCAGCCAGGATTTTGAAGTAATCTATGTAGAACGCCGGCGTGAACGTGTTGAAGAACTTGGCTTCTTCGTTTGTAGGATTTGAGAAAGTATGAGGTGCACGGATAGGTACGGTAACATAATCTCCGACGTGGGCATCGTGTTGGGCGCCGTCGGGGGCGTGGAACTACCTCAAGTGTTAGTCTTTTGATCTAAAGAAAAAAAGACAGGAAGAGTAGGTCAAGACGTACCCGCACCATTCCCTGTGTGACGAGGAATGTCTCGTCGTGCATTTCGTGCCAGTGTGCTGGTGGGCCAGCCGTGTTCGGAGGTAGCGTGAACTCTGCTGAGCCTATGCGGTTGTCTGTTCGTGATCCGTCTTCCATGATTCTGCAAGTGATGTGTCCTAGTTTGAGTATCTCCCCCGATTTCGCAGAAACGAAGTTTATGGGGCGGCGCGGCATCTTCATGCTTGCCATTGCTTGACGGGCTTCGTCGTCCATAATGGGCTGGGCAGTTCGGCAGCGTAAAATGGTAGGCTTGGGGTTGGCTGTCCTCTTTACTTGTTTACTTGGAAAGTTTGGATTCAAGTGTCTGATATTGGAGACTCTACTGCAGCTATATAGATACGTGTGGTGGGTAAAAAGGCGTAAGTATAAGCGCTGGACTTTACTACTGCGGAGAGCCGGCGGAAGCCACCAAAGCTTTCAGATTGCTCGGAGGTCCGCGACGTTAGATGCGTGCAGGGAAGCACCCTTCGAATAGAACAAGACGGCATACATGTATAAGATGGGTCTCAATACATCAGCATACGAGACGACGTTGTATCATCTGGAGCTTGATGGAATGCTGCTGCTGCCGGGAGTGAATGCCCCGCACTTAGCTCAGGGTTAGCGCAGGGTCTCATTCCCCTCCCCTCTGAGCGGGCCTGAGCCTTCTCCACTTTCGGCAAAGGTCTGTCCTGCGCGCCCTTTGACTTACCTGCAGCGTGCCTGCAGTGGCTGCCTACACCAATGGACAACGATGCTAGTTGTTACGCGTCTCATCGCTGCCTGGTATCCAGCGTGTTCATTAAGATTGATAATCTCAGACCTGCCATCAAACACAAGCCAACTCGTCTCGATCATCTGTGATTTACAATTGTCGCAACTACCACCAACATGACGCCAAAAAAGATGTTTACTGTTCTTGAGAACAACCCGGAAGTCATGAACTCCTTGGCTCAAAACCTCGGTCTGGACACGAATGCGCTCTCTTTCTACGATGTCTACTCACTTACTGATCCGGACATGCTGGCTTTCATCCCGCGACCAGCCATAGCACTACTCGTTATCATACCTCTGACGCCTACATGGGATGAGGCGCGAACGGTAGAAGATAGAGACAAATCTGAGTATGAGGGCAAGGGCGACACAGAACCCGTCATATGGTTCAAGCAAACTATAGGCAACGCTTGCGGAAGCATAGGCTTGGTGCACTGTCTCCTCAACAGCGAAGCTGCACAGCACATCCAGCCATCCTCGACCCTCGCTAAGATCCGCGATGATGCGCTACCAAAACCCATCTGGGAGCGGGCGAAAGTGCTCGAAGACTCTGACGCATTTGAGAAGGCTCACGCAGACGCAGCAAAACTTGGAGACACAGAAGCACCTGTAGCAATAGAGGAGTATCATCTCGGTCAGCATTTCGTGGCGTTTGTCAAAGCAAAAGATGGCCACTTGTGGGAACTCGAAGGTGGTCGTATGGGTCCACTCGACCGAGGTGTGCTCAACGAGGATGAGGATGTGCTTAGTCCTGCGGCGCTGGAGAAGGGCATTGGACGTCTGATGAGGATCGAGTCTGAGAAAGGTGGCGACCTGAGGTTCTCTGCAATTGCGCTGGCTCCGGCGATGAAATGAAGAATGGCACACCTGCCGACGCCCGAATGATGCGTTACACATGGGTTCTTGTTCACAACACGCCAGGGCTGTCCACAAGCAAGATACGTTTTCTCTTCTTTGTCTTGATATTTAACAATCATCAAACGATCTTAACACTCAATCTTCGTACCCCGCTTCACTCATGAATGGGCTCTTTCCACGTATGCTTTTCCCAAATCTCAACAATATCAAAGGAATGAAACTCAGTGCTAATGCGATGAAGCCCAACAAACTACTCGCCCATTGGAAGCCCAACGTACGGTACATACTCTGGGTTGCAAGTGGTAAGAACGCTGCCATGAAGTTCTCAAGGAATGCAATGCCTGCAATGGCACTAGCAGCGTACTTTGCGTACGCATCAACCACATACGTCGTCACTCCAGCCGTGCTGCAGAACATGCCAAAACCAACAAAGGCAAGCGATATACTAGGTACAATCCATGGTATAGAAGCGTAGGACGTCCACGCGAAGTAGAACAGTCCGCCACTTAGACCAATAAACGAAGCTGGAATACTGAGATAGAGTCGTGCTTCAGGAATCGGTTTTCCTGGTGTATCCGTGTTGCGTTTCGCGGATGCGAAGTAGATTCGATCTTGAACTAGGGATGCGACAAGGCCGATAAGCTCCCCAATCACGACTGCGGACTGCACAAGACCCGTGCCGAAGAAAGACCAGCCGTACAACTCCGAGAAGACTTGCACGATCGACTGTGTGAACATGAACGCTGTGCCGATGCAGAAAGCGCTCCACATTCCAAAAGACAGAACTACGCCTTCGGTACAGAGCATGCGTGTGGGTCTGACAAGCGTCTCCCTAAGGATCTCACCAAAATTTGTATGCTCTTTCTCCGCCTGTGCATACACCTCTTTTCCAGTCTCTGCGCGAATACGACGTGCACGCCGAGTGAGGATGACATCGGGTCGAACCTCGGGGAGGAGGAAGAACAGCACCGGTATAAGGGCGCTATAGAAGATGATCTGGCTTAGGAAGATCCTACATTTAGGTTAGTCAAAGTAGAGAAGGCAGTAGCCAAAGCATGACTCACCATCGCCAGGTCGTATACTGCACTACCAAACTCCCAAAAACAGGCCCCATATTAAGACCCGCAAGCAGGGCGAAAATGTAAAGTGAGGTACCGAAACTCTTCGCTCTTCCGTCTTTCCATATATCACTCACAATGCCCGACGTTATATTGGCAAGCACACCCGAGCAAGAACCCGTAATGATCCTCGTTACAATGATTGTCGCAAAGTTTTTGGCTAACGCTTGTGGAATGATGAAGATGATCAGAACTGCGTAGATGACCAGATAACTCCATCGTACTCCAAAGTTCTCCATCAAAGGCAGTCCCAAGAGTCTAAATGTAAGCGTACAAAGTTAGTATGTATCTCACATGCAGTTCGTACAGAGACACTTACGGTGCTGCGGCGCCTCCCAGGTTCCAACTCAACACTGGCCAGTAGGAGTGTGGGAATGCCTTGTCGCTGATATTGAAGCTGGTGTTGATTTGCTCGGCGGCGGATGTAAGCATTGTTCCTGAGACTTGTACGACGAATGTCATGGTACAGGCTAGAAGCGTCGTGCGCCATTTTTTCGAGGAAGAGAAGTTGAAAGGATTTGAAGAGTCGGTCGATGAGGCCCAAGATATGAACGTAGGACTAGACTTCGAATCTGGCTGTGAAGGATGTGTTCCTGAAATATCTGGACTCAATGGCCGATCGCGTTTCTCATCGACAGCTTGCGAGCTCAGACTTGTCGAAGACGCCGAAGTTGATGTTGGGGAAGCCATGGCCACGGACGATAAGCCAAGACGAAGACGGAGCTAGCGTTGCCGGTCTGGCTTATAAGCTGTATCGACGGATGTAAAGATGGCGACTAAGCATCAGTCACCCAATTGCTTACACACGCCTTGACACTCTTCGCTCTGGTTGCAACGTTTCTCTGTCGTAGTTTGAGTGCGAGTCGTATGGCCAGAAGACGGGACAACGCAGCTATTCGCAGGGTACACGTCGAATACGATGAAACCGACCTTGCTGTCACAGTACACCGGGGAACAATAACCTCTAAGTGCAAGGCTTCTTGGGAGACAAGCTTCTGACAAGCATCAAGCCTAGAGTTCGTCGCAGGTAGTAGCTGGGGTGGTCGAGTGGAGATGGAGCCGACAGAAGCTCGCCCCATCTTCGCTCGGCGGTCACCATGAGGTGCAAACAAAACCTGAACCTCTGACATCACGGTTCATAAGGGACTTGACTAACAGCTTGAGGTTGCTAGGCGGCGTTGCTAACTATAACGTAAGAAAAAGCGGATGCGAGTTAGCGTCGGCTTGGCGGGCATTATGATCTTCTTGTCAGAGCGGGAGATTCTATAATTGGGTGCGTGATGCTGGAGAACAAGACCGATGTATATTCGAGGCTGTTCTTACAATTGTGATGGGTTGTAACAGTCAGATTTGTGATGGACGGGAAGGTATGATGTAGATGTTTTGCCATGAGACGCCACAGCCGAAGATTTCCACGCTAAACTCTATCCATTTGTCCTGTCTTCCGAGAGCTACCAACGTTTCTGAACCGCTTTATATCCTCTGAACCAGAGTGACTTATGATAGCCTACGCATAATCCTCCTTGGTACCCTTTTCCGCACTTCTGTAGATCGCCTCAATCATCTTATGCCTAATAACAGCATCCTCCCAGGTCGTAACACTGCCTACACCTTCCCCAGCCCACGCATCCCAGGCCCTCCCCACATTAAACGACGTATCCTCAGCCTTCTCCACTTCAACTTCTCTGAGTTCTTCCTGACCCAGTGCGATCTTGACAGTAGGCTGGAACATCTGCACATGTCCACCCATCTTCGGTCCTTCTAAGACAAGTGTACCCTCGGATCCGATAATCTCCCAGTAGAAATCTCGTCCACTGCGCGACAAACCCGGAGCGTAATTGACATCCACGTTGCCGCCTCCGTTGACAAGTTCTGCAGTCATGGAAATAAAGTCGTGGGAAGTTTTACTTTTCTTTTCACCCTTGGGCTGGTAGGTCTTCTCATCGATCAACTCAAGTTCTGGGTAGCGGTTCGATAGCACGGCGGAGATTGAGCGGAGTTCGCTAGAAAACACGTAGCAGAGCGCGTCGACAGCGTGACCAAAGGGAATGGTGAGGACATTTGCGCCTGCTTCGACTGGAAGCATGTATAGATGGGAGGGAAAAATTGTGCCGCCGAATATCATGCCCTGTTGTTCGTCAGCAAGTTTACTAATGCCAATGCATCCCTCTTCTGTCATTCAAATCTGAAGGATGTGATTGACGATATTCTTACATGACCGAACATCGTCGTCCCCAAGATTTTCCCTAGTTTTCCTGACTCAACGATTTCCTTTGCTTTGAGAATCGAAGGGTTTTGACGGGCTTGCAAGCCCACCATCGTTCTCACGCCCTTTGCCTGAGCCAAAGCAGTCAATTCCTCTGCTTCTTTCAAATTCCGCGCCAAGGGCCATTCAGAGAAAACGTCTTTCCCTGCCTCGAGAGCGGGACGGATGAGCGCGTAGTGTAGGGGTACATTGACGCTGACGGCTACGATGTCTACATTGGGGTCCTGAGCAATAGAATCGGGGGAGTCGTGGGTGGAAACTGAGTTTAGAGAGTACTGTTTGGCTGATGCTTTGGCTGAGTCAAGAGAGCTATTTTGGAGAGCAGTAATAGTATAGTAAGAAGTGCGCTGGAGGTGAGGAAGATGAGAGCTGGACGCCCATGATCTGAACGTTGACGTCAATTGAGCTATCGTATGATGCAGTTTCAAATGCATACTTACCCTTTGGCCGAGAGACCGACGAGTCCAACTCGTTTCTGTGAGCTAGTCATAATTCTCAGTTGAGCAAGCGAATCGTATTACTTTTCTTGAGTTTGGATTGCAATAATTGGATGGTTAGATACCCGACAAAGATGGATCAAGTTGAACAGAGGACATTAGCTCAAACTATACGTCTAACTACGGATATACATGTCACTCCGCATACCCCGAGACCCTGCAGCTAAAGCGGGTACAGCCGATTGCAGCCCGAGGTATGGCATGGGTGGTTGTTGCAGTACGGATGACGTAACTGAATAGTTCGACCGCTTTTCGTGCGCGCGCACTAAGCTTCTTCACTTCGCCAGGCAGAATATATGTTCTCTGTGAGCTTGCGGCCCTGGGCAGCTTCGAATTCTCGTTTTCCGAATGTGATTCTGACGGCGTTTCTCAGCTATTATACAGTCTTTATTCATCGCGGTACTGCTATCGACGATCGGAAGGGCGGACTAAACCCTTCCTACACCGGGATGGATATCAAAAATACAGAGCAGAACAGTCTATTGGTTTCTCTATTCAACTTGTACGAAGCACTTATGAGGCAATACACATTGGTCTTGGAATAACCTAGTTCCAAATCGTTTGTTTCGCGTTATACCATGAAGGTCATGCAGAATCTTATCACAACTCAGTAACATTCTCGCCTTCCTCATCGCCCTCAGACATCTCCTCATCTCACTCATCAGAGTAGGGCGCACACATCTGCGCATTCTCCCACGCTTCATCGGCAACATGCTGGTGCTCGCCCGCCCTAGTGTAAGCCTCCGTAACGAAGTAGGGGCGCGACATCTCCAAACCAAGAGAAGGCTCGGAGCCCACTGCCAGACGACTCGAAACCGCAGCATCTGTTGCAGCCGTAATGCCCGGAAGGAACGGTTGAGCAAAAGGGGAGAGCGCGTTACTTGTAGCTGACATGGCAAGACCATACGGATTCGCGGCAGCCTGGAAGTTACCCGTGTTACCAAGTATTCCTGCCATCTCGTGCCCAGTAAAAGGCATCGCAACCTCATTTTGCACCAATCTTTTTCCAGACCACCCATTGGTTCGAGATAGTTCCGCATAGTACTTTTCATTCTGACATTGCTCACAGAGATAGGTTCCATGTCTAGCTTGTAACTTGCCACGTGTGCTCAGGCAATCTTTATGGTACCAGCGTACTTTGCAACCCTTGTTCACGCATTGCGTGATCGGAACGTCGTTCGTACGCGCGGGCTTGTGGCAGGAGCAGATTAAGTCGCTCTTTACGGGTAAGTGTTTGTTGTATGTCTCGAAGGCTGCTTGAGTGACACCAAAGGGTGGTGAGTCGTCGGTGGTTGGGTCGTGCTTGCGGTAGACGGGTGCGTGGAATTGTTGTGCTTTCACCGTGGGCTTTGACGGCGGGCTTGGTCTTTTTCTCTTCTTACTCGGCGATACAAACTTTGACCTGGCTTTTCCCTTGTTCTTGATAGGTGTATATTCTCCATCCGGTGTGTCTGGATCGGCGTCTTCCTTTGCAGCGTTAGACGCATCATCACTCAGATTCAGCTCTTCGTAATTTATGTTGCTGGTCTTGACCGAGCGTTTGAGTGTTAGAGGACCGCGTGGATTCACTACTGTAAAGATGTTGCAGATATTGGTGTCCTCGGTTTTGGTCATATTTTCGCGTCTTACTCGGTGATTGGTGAAGAAACGACAGACAAGGTTAGTTTCAACGTCACGGCCAAATTCGCGATGACCACTCCCAAAATCAGGTACACTGTTCTCTAGGAGGATTGCGCTGCCCAGCTTTTCGTATTCGTTTTGCTGTACGGATGTAGGGTCTCGATAAACGAAAGCGGAGTTTCCTGATGATCCAGGAGTCAACAGTTGAGAGTTGTGGCAAGGGAGAGTGTAATAAGAAGAGCTGTCAGTCGATGAATGGGAGTGGACGCTGTCAACTCTGCTATGAGCGACTGGTGGAGAGTAGGTACCTGGAAGGCGCTGTGAACGGGATAATCCTTTGCCGCTCATTGTATGCTTAACGAAGCCCGTCTTGTGCTCAACCGCCCAAGAGCTCTCGCGGTCATTCATCTTGGCGGGTGCATAGTTATGGGACTCTGTGTAGGGAGTTTGTTCAGTCACGCCATCGAGCTGTAGCGAGCCAGCAGTCGAGGGAACCAGGCCTTCACAGCTCGAAGCATCGTCAAGCCCGCCCGCCTCCCTCATATCGTAAAGTTCGCTCCTAGAAGTTGGATGCTGAATAGGTCGGGTAGGAACATGGTGATATCTACCTTGTTGTGACTGACCCGCGGACCGGTTGGTGGTAGACTGCGCCTCTGCCCGTCGATTCACAAGCTCTCCCAGGCAGTCCAAACAGTATGTGCGTGTCTGCTTAGGTACCAACTTTTTGACCTGTTGAGTCCACAAAGGATCATTCATTCTCGGTCCATTACGGCGAAAAGCGATGATTTTACCAGAAGCCACGTACATGTCAGAAGCCGGCGTGACGGTTCCCCAATCAAGGAGTGGTTCAAGTGTGATGGAAAGAGGGCCCCTCTTGGTTCTTTCAAGTGTGTCTTCTCCTACTTCTGGGCAGGAAAGATTGTCGCAACCTTTCTTCGAATCATCTCTAACGATGAATACGAGATCACCTTTGGTTTGATACACTTTGCCAGAGCCTCTACCTTCGAGCGCATGTAGAACATAGTCCCTATGCTCAGCCAAATCCTGGTCATCTGTCCAACGGTATGTCTGGTTGGCATTTGGAGGCTTCGAGGATTGATAATCCATCTCGTCGATACCGGTAACTTTCCGCCAGAACAGCGCTTGTAGGTTAAGTAGTTGCTCATACCCTTGGTGGAGGGTAGGGAGCTTCATGCCCCAATCCTGAAGGTATAGTTGAAAAGCTTTGGCGCTTTCTTCACCAACCTTGGGAAACAGGAAATGTGAACTTCGAAGGTCGTTCTGGCATGTGTAGAAAATACCGGAAGGCTTGGTAGCAGAAAGTCCGTCTGGCGACGCCATTTTGCGCGATCAACTACCATGCCGTTAGCATAGAGTAAACTGTTTAAAATACCAAGATACCAATCACACTTGTAGCAGCCCGGCAGAGGGTAAGAAAAGGCGTGAAGTAGACTGTTCTCGTACGTAGGGCACGGCCACGGCGCCAAGGCCTGACAAAATCCACCTGCAGCCGAATTGGACGTGACGACAGAAGCTAGTACCAGGCTCTGAACGTCTTTCTGTTGAGGGTCTGAAGACGACTGCATACTCTGAATGGGCGTTTCGCAGTGCAATCAATGGTAGCGAAGTCCCACAGCAGGCATCCATGGATCGCGTGGGGAAGAACCCTGAGACAACTACGCGCGGTGAAGATACATGTCGTAAGATGAAAGTGAAGAGTGAAAAGTCCAAACCGGATGATTTCGCGTCGTATCCGGTTCACTTTTGTACATTTCAGGACTGCTCAGAACATACAACCACGACGCCGCATGTGTCCTTCGTCTATCTTGTCGTGTTCAAGTCACCAAAGAATACCAAAGTACACATAGACTCGGAATCATAGGTTACTTTTGTGGTATTCGTAGGGTGATCCAAGGGTGAGACCACAGAGCATAATGATTGAATTCTAATAGAGTCCATGCTTCGTAAGGAGCATAGTCAAACACAATCCCGTGGCGTGACGCAGAAAGTTGCTAGACTCGTCGGTGGCTGTCGGTGCCGCAAGACATCTATGTGTTGGAATTGCTCCGAGGTCAGCGACAAAAGTATAGTGTGGGCGCCTCTACTGTGTACGTTATGGGTCATGCTGTCAGAGAATGACGTTGATGTCGTTGCCGCTCACATATCCCTCGATGGTCTCTTTCAGAATTTCACCAAGGTTCTTGATTGACCTTGTCGAGAACCACGCCAAGTGAGGACTCAAGGTGATGTTGAGATCTTTTATGTCTTCCTCCAGCAGTGGTGAATCCTCAGGTCCACCAACAGGTTCCACCTGATACACGTCTGTAGCATAACCCGCTATGCGCCGTTCCTTCAAGGCTTGCACAACGGCTGCCTCGTGCACTATGCCGCCTCTCGCGATATTGATCAAGACGGTGTATGGATGCATCTTCTGGAGCTCTGCGGTGGAGATGAGATTGAGCGTCTCGGGGTTCCGCGGCAGGGATAGGACAAGGACGGTGGAGTTACGGAGCACATCATCAAAGGGTATGCGGTCGTCTGAAGCATCTAGGGCTGGCAGTGGTAGTCCGCCGTCAAGGGGAGGCGTCGCCGGTGTCTTGCGACTGGCGATAAGCACGCGCATGCCCAATGCTTGCCCGAGCGCAGCTACTCGCTTCCCTATCGTTCCTCGTCGTCAGCTCAGGATCTCGCATCCCAATTAGGGCATGGAGACCTACCTATGCCCCCATAGCCGATAACACCCATAACCTCATCTTTGCAGGTCATCGGAGGCATGCCATCCGGCAGGCGCATGTGCTGATTGACACTACCCTTGGTCTTCCATTCGCTAGGCTGCGCACGAGTAACGCGGTCTAGGAACACGGTTCGTCGTCTGGCGGCGAAGTACAGGCTTATGGCATGTTCCGAAACAGCGTCGATATTGGCCCCAGGGCAGTTCGTAACACGAATATTGCGGGCCCGGCAGGCGTCGAGGTCCACAGGGTCTGTTCCCGTCGCAGAAATGGCAATGTAGCGGAGGTTTGGAGTAACACTGGGGCGCAATGTTTCGGCATCTAGCTTGATAGTGGTCGTGATGACTATCGTGGCATTGCGGATGCGCGAGTGGAGCTCTTCGCGCGTCGACGTCGTCGCGTAGGCTGTCAGGTTGTGCGTAATGGTGGCGGGGAAGCTGAAGCCGTCAAGTGGGAGGGGCTGCTGATGCTCTTCGAGAGCGACAATCTCGTGATGCATGGCGGCAACGTTACACAGCTTCCGATGCAAGGCTGTCGAACATGACGCATTTCCATTTTATATATCACTAAGAGACGCCTCTAGACGACAAGCCTGGCACCACTATTACCGCATTCGACATCCTAGGGCGCGTTTTCCCACCGGAAGGAAGGCACAGACAAAGGGAAGGAGCAAAGGAACAGCTCTTGGTAGCAGCAAACACGACTCCACCCTTCCATGTTGATATCTCCGTCTCCATCTCTCCCCTATCTATACACTCCGCAAACCTGCCCAGCGCGTTAATGCACACGCGACCATTGCCCCGGACCGTATCCACGAATACGGCTCCAAAGCCGAGGTGGACGCCCGCGACGCACGCCAAACGCCCTCGGCGACTCCCATTGGCTGCGCAAACCTGCAATTGTCAAAGTCACGCCCAACCTCACCCTCCCCCCACGCGTTCACCAGCGATTGCCCTGCAAACTTTGCGCACCCGAGTGAGGCTCAGTGTCTTGCGACATGCTTCAGGGACCAGCTCAGGGCCCTTCCCTCACCGGGTTTTCGTCGGCAGACAGCGGCTCAGCTTCTGGCCCACTTCTGGAAAAAACCTCAACACCTAAGCGACGGAACGCGGATGCATTAGACCATAGTTCCCACCCGATCGGTGATTTTCTCGGCGCTGTAAAACAGCCCTATCCGGTCACCTAGCATCAGCAATTGGTCTGCCAAGCTCGGCGTCTGTTGCCATCTGAAATTCGGGTGGGTAGTCTGAGCCGTCTTGCCTCCAAGGTGGTTAGCGGGCCTGGACCATGCGCCGACTGACGTCCCTCTGCAGCCCTTCAAAGCCTGCGCTGATCCGCCGTAGTGACCTCTCTCAGAGTTTTGCTTTGCGACAATTATCACAGTCACTTTCTCTCCCCGGACCCCAAACCACGGACGATAGCGACACGCCCCTCATGTCCGACTACAGGTATGGCACGCAGTCAGATGCGTACGCCGCTGAGCACGACCACTCTGTCCTCCGCAACGGCGCGTCTGACAAGGAGACCAAGTTGGGCAACACCTACTCTGGATCTGGAGACGATGTCGTTCCCGCCGATGCCGACAACCTCCTAGCTGCCATGGGCTACAAGGCCGAGTTGGTTCGGTCACGATCTACTCTCCAGGTCGCCTTCATGTCCTTTGTCTTGGCCTCGGTTCCCTATGGTTTGGCAACAACCCTCTACTACCCAGTAGTCGGTGGAGGTCCCACCAACATCATCTGGGGATGGCTCGCCGTATCTCTTATCATTCTCGCTGTCGCCGCATCTCTCGGTGAGATCACCAGTGTCTACCCGACCTCTGGTGGTGTCTACTACCAGACCTTCATGATCACGCCGCCCGCCTATCGGAAAATCGCCTCGTGGATCTGTGGTTGGTGTTTTGTAGTTGGCAACATTACCATTACTCTCTCAGTCAACTTTGCTACCGCGCTCTTCCTTGTGGCATGCGTCAATGTCTACGAAAGCGAACCTGGTGTTGGTATCATGGAAGGATCAGCTTATCAGGTCTTCCTCATCTTCCTTGGCATCACACTCATTTGCAATGCTGTGTCTGCCTTTGGAAACAAATACCTACCATGGTTGGATGTGAGAAACCCCCCAAGCGACTACTGGATGTGTTACTTACAGACGATTAGACCTTTGCCATTTTCTGGACCTTTGCTGGTGTGATTGCCATTATCGTATGCGTCCTTGCCATTGCGAAGAATGGACGCCACAGCGCTGAATACGTCTTCACTGAATTCGATCCCTCCAACTCCGGATGGGTCCCAGGATGGTCTTTCATGGTCGGACTATTACACGCAGCCTACGCGACTTCATCGACTGGAATGATCATCTCGTGAGCCTCCCCTACTCTGCCCAAGCAACTTGAAGCAGATTTTCTTTGCCCAATGCAAATTTCCCAAGCGACCTTCCCAAGCGACATTTCCTATGCGACCCTCCCAAGCAACACACTCCATCGCGACATTTGACGTGTCTACATGCGGTAATGTCAAATGATGATTGTCCAAACGCTAACAGTGTACAGTATGTGCGAAGAGGTTCGTGAGCCTGCCACCCAGGTCCCCAAGGCCATGGTCGCTACCGTCGCCTTGAACACCATTGCTGGCCTGGTCTTCCTCATCCCTCTCGTCTTCGTACTTCCCGACCAAGCCATGCTTGCAGGACTACTTTCCGGCCAGCCGACACCTGTTATCATCAGGGATGCGGTAGGCTCCCCCGGTGGTGCCATTGGTCTGCTCATTCCTCTGCTGGTCCTCGGTTTCCTCTGTGGTATCGGGTGCACCACCGCTGCCTCCCGGGCTACCTGGGCCTTCTCTCGTGACGGTGCTATTCCCGGCTACAAGCTGTGGAGGACTGTCAACACGAACCTCGATGTTCCGCTCAACGCCATGATGCTGAGTATGGTTGTTCAAATCGCTCTCGGTCTCATCTACTTCGGTGCTGCCGCTGCTTTCAACGCTTTCTCCGGTGTCGGTGTCATTTGCCTGACCCTGAGTTACGCTGCCCCCATCTTCGTTTCGCTCATGACTGGTCGTAAGCAAGTCAAGGACGGCGCGTTCCACCTTGGCATGCTCGGTACCTTCTGCAACGTTGTTGCACTTGGTAAGTTTTGTGACCGATTCTTTTGGTAACCAATTTCTAACGAACATAACAGCCTGGTCGGCTCTCGCCACTCCTCTCTTCTGCATGCCTACTTTCCGCGACGTCACACCAGCATCGATGAACTACGCCTCTGTCGTTCTCGCCGCCGTCGTTGTTGTCTCAACTATCTGGTACTTTGTCTGGGGAAAGAAGAACTACGAGGGACCTCCCACTCATGAGGACGCGGTTCTCGAGGCGAGAAGAGCCAGCATGGCGTCTCGTTAAGTCATATTGAACCAAAGATGACATGAGAGGAGGAAGAGGTGGATGAGCACACTTTCTTCTTTTCGCTACTCGGTGATTACAGCGAATGAAGTGGGTAAAGTCATTGTGTTTTTACATTCCTGCATCAGCAAATTCGATACCCCCGTACATTGAACATTCCAAAAGAGTTTTGTGCCAATGTTACCTCTCTATGCATTGTTTGTGAATCTGTTGCTCTTTCCGGCATATTGCATATACCAATCACGGGCGCAGCCGTCCCGATCCTTGGCCTAGGCACAACTACGTAAACTGTCACGGTGCGGGAAAAACGGCATGCTGATTTCTCCACAATCCATGCCATGGTATGTCATAGCCTCCACAGCCTCCACAGAGCCCGCAAAGTATAAGCGCCCGGTCAACGTGCGGGCTCTTCTCGGTAGAAACCGGGACACGGACGACTATTGATTAGTGAACACGAGCCCCATCCACTAGACAACCGTGCAGCACATAATGCGCAGCAACATAGCTTGATGGGACTGGTGACTGCGACTTTCGTGCTAGTGGTATTCCGCTGACCTGGAACCTTTTTGGTTGCATCGCTTAGCGAACTCGATAGCTGGATCCGCTTTGACGTACGGGTTTGGAAGAATTTCAACAATGGTATTTGTGTTAGGTACAGGACGTTGTTGCATGTGTCTATATACTGAAGTCGAAGTCTTTGAAAGGATCTCTAAACACCACACTGCCACCACCACCATCTAGACCTGTCGACTCAATATCACGCCTCTTTTTCTTTCTCTTCACATCGACAACCCCGTCAAAAAGTTTAGCCGTAGAATGTCTGCTTTTGACCAAAATACTTTTCCGTTTGTTTCCGTCTTTCTTCAAAGTACTGTGCGGACTAAGGCCATCTTTGAAATTTCCATCTTTTCTGTTTCCATGATAGTAATCATCACGATCACTCTCGTTGACAGAGGCGCTTGGCAAACCCATATGTCTCACCGTCCCAGAATTGCTGCGTGATGTGCCACTTATTTTGACAGACGATCTGGTATCAATCGTCTTGATCGATTCTGTAGCAATAGACTGCGTGATGATTGGCCGTTGATGGACAACGGTTTCATCTTCTGTTGGCGAAGGAACTGTGAGTCCAACGTCATAATCGATCCAGGGTGCTACTTCGTGGATGTTGATTCCAGGGAATGTGCTGATGGATGTGTGCGCACTACTGGCATTTGAACCAACTGGGCTAGCTTTTCCGTGCTGTTCACTCTGTAGATTGTCGGTTTTTCCGTGTCCTTGATGATGATGATGATGATGATGATGAGTGTTTGTGCGGATGAGCGATGCGGGGACGGCGAGGGTGTTGCTTTTACCCGTTGTTGTGGCTGCGAAGGTAAGAGGGTCGGTCTTTGGGATGGATTTGGGAGAGAATATGACTTCTTTCTCGAGCATATGGATGTGGGCTTCTTCGTCGAAGTGGAGATGTTTGAAGACAGTCTTGCTGCGAGAGTTCAAAGAGGTATCCTCGACGACCGGGAGAGATGCTGGTAGCACTGGAGGAGCAGTTTTGAGGGGTATCGAGAAATCATTTTTGATAGGTACCACGCTTGGTTCCTTACGCTTTCCGTCTCGGTTCACCTTGCGAAGTCGCTTGTATTCGGCGTAGTCGTCTACTTCGGTTGCGGTAGGTCGTTTGGTGACTACGTCCATAGGTACGGAGTCTGTACGTTCGAATTTGACATCGAATAGGATATCGCCTTCCTTCCATTGCTCGCCGGCGAGATCACTACTTTTTGCTTGTTTTATTGACCATCCTTTGACGCTATACAAGCCTTCATATCTTACACCAGCCTTTGGGCCCCAAACGCTGTTGATACTGTGGCTGCGAAGTACTCTTACAGGATCACGGCTTTTGGGAGTGGCCGAGGTCAGACGAAATTTGCCTTTGTCGGTTTGTGGTACGCGATAGGTGAAGCGCTGTTCAGATGCGGCTTCGATCTCACCTGTATCTTTGAGTAGTAGAGCATAGGCGCCGTGCTTGTCGTACGTTGTGCCACCGTTACAAGCTTCGAGCCCGATGATGCCAGCATGGTGTGCGAATAATGGGTTGATCCACCATCTGCAACGACGATCAGCATAAACAACTATCGGAATGAAGTGTCAGCAGATGTACTGGCCAGCTACGAAACTCAGGTCACCCAGCCTGTGTGAGCGCCTGGGTTGAATCTTCTCAGGACATGTTTCAGCCCATCGTTTGAGCAATGCCTACAACCGATAATCATCAGTTCAGTATCGAAGATAGTGTATATCTCCATCGCATACCTCCTGAGAGTAGTCACGTATACTCGCAATTCCTTCGAGGCGTCCTCCTCTCCCGTACAAAAACGGATGTATTTCACTGAACGGCCCGAACTTCGCGGTCCATATATCGATTATCTTGTCGCAGTCGTCGCATAATCTACTGGGCCATCGCGTCGCCACGCCTGCAATGTCTTGAACAGCTTTGTGTATTCCGGTCGCTCGTAAGACGGAAATCGTCATGTTTTGTGCATGTTGGAGAGCGACGAGGGTCTCGTGGAGAGTCAACACATCGTCCGGATGAAGGACGTTGGGACCATCCCGAGCGACACGCAAGTCCAGCTCATCGCGGATCCATCTCGCTATGTGTTTCAATCTTGGACGGGAGAGATCGGGTTGGGCTGGAGGCGTGATTGGGATCGTAGCAGTAGACACAGTTCGCGGGCTGGACAGGCTGTCACGGGCGGTTTGCGTCATGATGAATCAGCGAAGTCAGTGTACAGGATTGTGTTGCATCGACTGCGTATGAAGAGTTTGGCAAAAGGAAAAATAGGTAAGACTGCTCTATTGAATAGCGCAATGAGAAGAAGTTGTGGGTAATTGTTCAAGGCCCTGGTATACTATCCAGCTGAGAGTCACAACACAAGCTGCTCTTTCCCTGGGTTTTTAGCGACTGCCTGGGTAGGCTACGCTATCGGATTTCATTCCTCAGTGTTTGCGCTTTTTCTTCTTCCTCTTTTCCGACCCTTGCACTTTCACTGTCTCTACAGGCTCTACTTTCTCTTCAACCTTTTCATCACCACTAAACCCATTCCATTCCTCATCTTCGGCAATCACAGCATCAGTAATTCGTGTCGAGTCCTCGCTACCATCTCGAACGAAGGCAGCAACGAAGAAACCCATCGTACCTTCTTCCGTGCCCTTGTCGCATCGAATACAAGCTTCTAGCACATCACTCTTCGAGGATTCATCTACGTCAACTTCTAGCTTCTCGTCCTCCCAAACACCTCGTCTATGCCACTTCTTCATTCCCTCGACCTGAGCATCGCGCTTCAGAATTGACCACCCCCGTTCTTTTGCAATAGAAGATGCTAATGCCTGGAAGACAACACCCTCGTTTTCTTCGAAATGAATTGAACAGGTCGAGTAGGTGATTTTATGTGCGCTCGCAAATCGCATAGCATGGGTAAGGATGTGGAGCTGGAAAGATGATAGAGCTGCCAGCCGCTCAGAGAGCTTGCCCTGCATTGATGTGTCTGTCTCTTCAGGGGTTGAGTCATCCATGTCCAAGTCAAGGGTTGCTGAAGCCTCAGCCTTGCTTGTTTCATCATCTCGTTTGCGCTTCTTATCTTTCTTCTCGGGCTTTGGCGCCACTGGTCGGCTGTTTGGCGCTTCTGGTAGGTGCATTTTGATAGCGTCGTCTCGCCCAACTATACCGGTACCAGAACAGCTTGGATCGAGCAATATAGCACCTACGTCGGCGTACTCGTCAGACCCAGGCTTCGCAGCGATGAAATCACTACTGCCTTTGACCTGAACAATGCTGTCCGCTGACGCGAGCTTGACCATCTTCTGCAAAGTGAAGGACCTGCCCTTGTCGCGTTCGAATGCGATGACCTTTTGTTCGTTACCGGGTTGTCTCCTGTCAGATACGATAGCCGCTAGGTGCGTTGTCTTATTTCCTGGTGCTGCTGTCGCGTCGATAACATCGCCATCATCCGGCTGCGGATCTAACAGATAGGCAGGAAAGCATGAAGCTTTATCCTGGAATATGATCTGACCCTTGGTATACGCGATCGACCTGCTCAGGTCGATCTTGGACGGTAGGGCAAGTAGGTTTGGTATGTTCGGGTCTTCGTAGTATATTTTCGACTTCTTAGGCGCAGACAGCACTTCGTTCAGATCGTTCGTCTTCACAAACCCGGCAAATGTTGTTGAAAGCTGTTGCTGTAACGTCGTCTTTACAGTGTTGACGCGTACCCACCGTGGGTGCCGACTCTTGGGCGCATCGCTGTCGTCCTTGTCAAGCTCGCCGTCGTTCACAGCCTCTCTGAAAGCCTCTATAGTCGCGTATCCGTATCGTATGCGGGCTTTGGTGAGTTCGGCGCTTAGGCGGGCTTTGTGTCGAGTTATTGCGAGTTTAAGGACATGGTTGGTGGCTGCAGCAACGCCGTTCTTCGCAAGCAGCAGGTCGTGTGTAAGAAGAAGAGCAAGTATTGGGGTAAGCTGTACAAGACATGGTCAGTGAATGAGCGCAAATCAATATGTCTGACAGTAAGCTACCTTCCTCTCCTCTGCAAGCAATCTCGTCTTTTCAATCACATCTTTGAGCACGATGGACCATTTTGACGTTTCCGCGATGAGGGCAAACAATTGGCCTGGTGTGCTCTTCAAGTCTTTTTTGTTGTATATCCGCGACTTCAGAGATCCACCGGTATTCTCTGTGTTTGCGAGGACCGCCGCGGCTTCGTAGTAGAGTGACATGGAAGCTGTCGCATGCGACGAAAGAGTCGCGAACTTTTTGGCGTTAAGACCGAGCTCCGACTATTTCCCCACACATTTCCGCGAGCCCTGACCACACGCGACTTTGACCTGGTCCAGACATGCTTTCTACTCCACTTTCATTTAGGTGAGGGATTGCAAAAAATCCTTGGTTTTGTATGTTTTCCAAGGCAATGAATATCTCATGGTGGTACTAATCACATTGTAAACCTGCATCCGTCTACGGTCATTTGGCATTATCATAACTCGTCGACCTGCATATCGCAACGCCATAGTATGCGTTTTCATGTCATGTGAAAAGATACCCAACGCCATATATGACCTTCATCTGATAATGTTGTATCTGTATTTGCACCAGAGTGCACGAATGCCGCAGGCAGAATATTGGAACTGCAAATTGCAAGGGTATAAATCGACTATTGTAGGCCTCATAGACGAGTCGTCTATGCCTTCTTGATCCTCTCCTCGTAGGCTGACCAGGCGGCCTTTCGGTATCTCTCTGCTTCCGACTTGCGATCTTGAGCGCGCACGATGCCTCGTCCGACGATGATGACGTCGCAGCCTTGCTCGAAGATCAATTTGCGTGGAGTGTTGTATTGCTGACCTAAAGCGTCGCCCAGCTTCTTGCCTTCCTGACCCGGCGGCGGAAGCTGGCAGCCCGGCGTCATGGTGATGAAGTTGTCCTCTGGCTCACTGTTCAAGCTGCGCTGAGCAATGAAGCCCATGACGAACTCGCGACGGCTTCGAGCGATCTCGACAGTCCTCTTTTGGTATTCTGGTGTCATAAGGTGGCCTTCGGAGCTCATCTCCGCAAGCAACAGGAGGGAACGGAGGAAGGGTGGTGGGCCAAGACGAACGAGCTCGGTAGCTACGTCTAGGTTGAAGACTTCTTCGCCGTTGGCGTTGGGCTCTGGACGAGGCGATATGCTCTCCGTCCGCATGGATATCGAGGTTGTCACGCTCACAACGCTGTGCTTCCGGTCGGCAGCCTTGATGCTTAGCCGTCTCTCTTCGCCCTCCATCTCAATTGGCGACTCGATTGCTGAATCGCGTGCCACGGGCTCTTCTTCTTCATCGTCATCGTCATCGTCATCGTCGGCGCCGTTGGATTGTCGCGTGGCAGAAATCTCGGTGTTTACGGATGTGTTGTACTTGGCAATGGTCGCGTCGGCAGCTTTCTCGAGCGCGGTGACGATGGCTGGACCGGGGATGACGTGGGCGTTGGTGATCTCGGCCCAGAGTGCGATTCGGTGGTGTCCAGAAGTGTACTGCTTCTGTACGGTTTCTACAGGTGCATTAGGGACAATTGCCCGGTAGGAACTACAGGCTCCAGCGTGACATACCACCAATATCCGCAAACTTTCGGTCTTCGAAGATGAGGAACCACTTGCGCTTTGCAATTTCCCTCAGTGCCTGGGCTGTCCTGTCGGACCAGTCGGTGACAATGTCGCAGTGCGTCTTGAGCAGGCAGATTGAGTCACCGACATCTTCTGCCAGTTGTAGGAGTTCGGCTGACGTCTCGACATCGGCAGAGAGGCAGAGGTTGGTCTGCTTGACGGATATCAGGCTCAGCAGGTACGAGGCCAGGGGTCCAGTCGTGGGGAGAGAGGCGCGCGCACGGTACGTGCTGGTGAGACTCGGGTGGGAAGACATGACGGCGATCGTTAACGGTTGAGGGACGAAAGCCGGATTTTGGCTTGTGTGGTTGAAAAGGGCCGATGTATCTTCAGCGCGTGTGAAGGAGCTGCAGAAGATCGGCAGTGTCGTCTCGTTTGGCGGACGTCTCTTCGCGGGGATGGTGAGGGGCAGAGCTGGCGACGGAGGAAGGAGCGGAGGAGGCGTTTGGCAGGTGCGAGGAGGCGTGTTATACAAAAAAGAAAGCAACTCAGGGAGCGACGGAAATAGCAACCAAGTAGGAGATATAGAAATTGGAAAGCTAGTGTCGACGGTCCCGTCGTCGAGTACGCGAGCACTACGAGACACTGAGCACAAAAATTGCGCCTGTACCTGGCACGGCCCGCTCAACGCTGGTCGCAGATCCTCCTGTCTAGACGCGCATTCGAGCCGAAACCGTCGTGCACTGCAGCCAGTTCCTCCCCCAGCGCGGCCATTAGACGCCAGAACTGCCACACAGGCTGCGGCATGCCCGTTTACCGCTCTGAGCACTACTTGGCCCTAGACATGCACCGCCTGCACTGACCGGAGGCGCATCCACTTGCTCGACATCGAGACTCGACGACGCAGTGCCACCGGCTTCCCGACTGCTGCTGCATACCGCTCCAACCGCTTCCTCCACTTCGTCTAGACCTCGTCTTCTCGTCCTGCCTCTCTGACCGCTGCCCAGGGCCCGTCGGCCATATTCCTTAGCGTTCCCAGCAATTCAGCTGCCCAGACGGCTGGCTGCGCATATTGCTTCCTCCTGTCATTACCCCAGCCACCATGCCACTGTATACTGCATCATGCAGTGCCCTGCGCTACGAGCGCCACGGTAGTGCTGCTGCCAGGCACCCCGCAGCAATTCTATCTCCTATCATAACTGACTATGCCTCTTCATCGCCGACTTGCTCAACCTCAATTGCGCCGCACCGAGACGTGAACACGTCGACTCGGCACCTTGACAACGTCGTCTGGACGCTTGCAGCTCGCGCCAACGCTGCCTATTCGTGTGCTGCGTCGGAAGGTGGGGCCCCAGACGCTACATCGTATCATGCCTGCATCGCGAACCCCGACAATGTGATAAGTAGGTCGGCCCGTAACTTGATTGTCGATATTGCCTTCCGCCACCCTGTACTTCGCCCGGCTCGGAAGGAAATCCCGTTGCTATTCCAATACGAGCAACCTTCTTGCTCCGCTTCGGTACGTTTTGTTCCATATATCCATGACCAGCAGCAATGTCACCCGGGACGATATCAGAGTACACGCGGCGAAAGCACATTCGTGAACATGTTTCCTTAACACGCCATGTCACTGATTTTATACATCAATTTTCTGTACATTCTCAGGCGATTCAATGCTTTCTCGCCATGTTTTCCTTATTCATAATCTCCAGCATAGGATGTCACAACTATGTTAAAGGTTCAGTCATAAAAGTATACCCTATATCTCGAGCCACAATGCGGAAAACCTCATTGTTTGAATTATATCGTACTGAAGAACAAGTACACTAAAGGTGTACGCTGTGGCTTTTCTCTCAAGCTGATAATATAGACGTTCGTGAGCACCTTCAGCGTAAGTTTCCATGTTCACGGCTATTACTCAAAGATACTATTGTTTCGTGTAAGCACACGTCCTGAACTACTTCTTGGATGAGACTTCCGCATTGGGACATCACTATGCGAAGCGAAGGACGCAGTTCATTCTCACCTCGAACAGGTGAGAGCAGAATGAGGACGATGCTTCGGCGAATCAGAGCGCTGGAATCCGGATATGGCAGTCCAGGTGCAATCTCCTGTTGACCGCGTGCACGAATTCCGACTTCACTGCGTCGTTTTCCAAACATAACGACCCCGCTTCCGTTGCCTCACAACAGCTTCCTTTTTCTCTTCTTCTACTCAAAGTCACCGATTTCTTCTGTCCGCATTTGCAGCTTCACGACTTCTTTCTTTATCTTCTACATCTAGCGACTACATCTTCACAATGCCGCCTAAGAAGGACGCCGCTGCCGGAGAGTCCGACGCCCTTTTGGTAGGCTTCACAAACAAGGAGACCAAGCTCTTGGCCGCTGCTTTTGTCAGTTCCACTGCTCCAGATAAATTTGACTATGACATTATGGCTACGTTGACCGGCAACACTGCTGGCTCTCTCAAGAAGATGTGTACGTAACCTTCCATCACTGGCACTAGTCAAAGTGTTCTCCAGTCAGAGTTACCGTCGAGGTACACCCGGCCACGTTATAGTTGGATATGCAACGTAGAAACCGGTGTATACCTTCAGGGAATGTCTCTTGTCTAGGAGTACGACCCAGACAAAACGGTCTCTTTCTTATCAACTTGCACTTCAAACTTATGCTAACATCACTTTCCATCGCTTAGGGCCGCCGGTAAAGAAGAAGGCTGCTGAGGGCCATGCTTCCTTCGCCGCCTTCCTTGGACAGGCTGGTGTCGCTGGTGTCGCTGGTTCCGCAGCTCCTGCTGGTGGAGAGCCTAGGCCCAAGCCCCAAGCTCCTGTCAAGGTCGTCAAGAAGCGCAAAGCAACCGATGAGGCCCCCGAGGATGCCGAAGATAGCGCCAAAGACCTTGATCCTCCCTCTGCCACCGACAAATCTGAGGGCGACAAGTCAGACTCCAAGAAGAAGAAGGTCCCTGCTGCCAAGAAAGGAAAGAAAACCCCAGACCAGAAGAAGGAGCTAGCCAAGGGTAAAGGACGTCCCAGAAAAGCTGTCAAGAAAGAGGAATCGGCATCCGAGGAAGAAGTCAAAGATGGTTCTGTCGAGAACTCCGCTGATGGCGGTGATGGTCCTTGTAAGTTTTATTTCAACAAAAGATTGAGACATTGCTGGACAAGGCTGACTGCGACTTAGGCGGCGAGGCTGAAGACGACATCTGAGACGTTCCTGATCGCTGACTGTGTTCATACCTCAACGGGGGATGTTTCTTCGTTGCGTGCATGAAAGCATCGTATGTCCTCTAGGTATATGATGTTCTGTTGCTCGGCGCAAGGAGTTCCTGGATGATACGGCATGAAATGATATGACACCTCTGGTTGGGGCGATGATAGCTCTTAGCACTTACATTGATCATGACATGCACTTCGCGTGGTCGAATCAACGATGATACCCTCTGCTCATGTACACTCTTAATGTGCTATGGCTGTTGCACCATACACTCTGTGAATGGATTCGCGACTGTACAACCTACCAAGTGTGCTTCTCGACAAGATGCAAGCTTGAACATTCCAAAATGCGTAGGACCTCGGATGCTGAAACACGTCGTCGCGTTCCCACGTGATCGGGAAGCCGCAAGCCGACACGCCTCGTCGGCACAATTCCGCGCTCTCAAACCACATCTTACAAACCGTCCACCATGCCACTTGCACACTGGAGTCATGCCCTAACAATACAAATGCCGAGCGCCACAAGGCGCTCTCTCTTTCACAGCATGCATATATACTGCGTCCGGTCTCTACCGCAGCCAAGAATATGAAAATCGTTCGTACCTCATCGTTCCTCGCAACATTCTTCGGCCTCCAACGAACAACTTCCGCGGAGCTCTCGTCCAGCAACACAACCTTCAATCCCCTCCAAGGCATTCAACAGTTTCCAATATCGTCTTACAGTGGCAACATGACACGTCTCGCACCCGTCATCTCCCTCTCGCACGGCGGAGGTCCCATGCCTTTGCTCGGAGACCCATCGCACGCCGCCATCACCAAGTCGCTCAAGACAAAGGTGCCCAAGATACTCAAGCTGGGAACATCTGAAGCCCCGAAAGCTATTGTTCTGGTGACCGCGCATTGGAGTACAAGCAAGGTCACTGTCTCCAGCGGCTCCAAGCATGAGTTGTTGTACGACTACTACGGCTTCCCACCAGAGTCGTACAAGATAAAGCACGATGCGCCAGGAAGTCCCGAGGTCGCTGAACAGGTAGCGCAAGCTCTGAAGGAAGCCGGTATCGAGTGTGAGAAAGATGCCAAAAGACGTATGTCCTCTCAGGTCCCTTCGACTTAGCACATACTAACATACTGTTAAAGCATGGGACCACGGCGTCTTCGTTCCCATGAAACTCATTGACCCTTCGGCCACCACCCCCATAGTCCAACTCTCAGTCCTCTCCTCCGAATCCCCCACACAGTCCTATGCCATCGGTCGCGCCCTCTCCACCCTCCGCGCCCAAAACATCGCCATCATCGGGAGTGGCTTCGCTACCTTTCACAACCTACGTCTCATGTTTGATGGCACATCGCAAAACCCTGAATTCAAGGCTCTGAACAAGGAGTGGAGTAAGGCCGTTACCGATGCTGCCATGACAGAGAGCGACCAGGAGAGGGAAACCAAGTTTGAGCATTGGAGGAAGTGGCCGGGGGCTTACACTATGCATCCCAGAGGTGGAGCAGAACACTTTTTGCCATTGGTAGTTTGTGCGGGTGCGGCTGGGAAGACAAAGGGCAGGAGTTATGCCGATGATTTTACGGGAACGGATATGTGGAGTTACTATTGGGAGGAAGGCCATTCGCTGGGCTGGCTGTAAGATTCGAGAATTTTGGCTGTATGAAAGCCGATGGACTCCACAGTGAACAGCAAAAACGTGTCGTAGATCTGGCAGAAAATATTATTGGCTTCCTTTGTACTCTACATTGGTATCATTACTCCCATACACATCGAGCTCCACCCACCCTTCTCTCTCTCTCTACATCTTCCTCACTCATCACCCGCTGATAGGTCTCATGCCATACCAGCCAATGACGCCCATCCCCATAAAAGCACTCAAACAACTAAACACCAATGCCACAATACCTCTCGCTGTGAAACCTTCTGGTAATCTTCCTGGACTCTTGTTCTCACCCGTAAGATCTGAGTAGTCAACTGTATTTCCCGCTGCGTTGCCGCGTGTGGGTATGCGGCCAGCTTCGCAAACGTCCCAGTGTGATTGTGGGATGGAGTTGTTTGACGAGGAAGAGGAGAGTTGGTCCTGAATGGCAAGCGGTGCTTCAATCATTGTGGCGGTCAATCCAGAAGCTACATGCCATTCTATGTGACAGTGAAACAGCCATACACCTATAACTCATGTCAGTCTCCAGTCATCTGCAAACCAGCCACCCACCTATACTGGCACGGGAACGCATGTCTCCATACTCGAAGGTTGACTTACCAGGATTATCAGATCGAAACCGCAGAACAATATGTCCGTTTGGTCGAACGAGAATAGTATCGCGTCGCATGGGTGTTGGATGTGGGTCTGGAGCATTGCCTGGGTCGTAGAAACCTGCGTCATCGGCACTGCGGGTTACTACTTGGAAGACGTGGCCATGAAGATGGAAAGGGTGTTTCCCAGGATCATCGTTGTTCAGCACAATCTCCACGACTTCGTTCTGAGCAAGTACAAAGGCGTTTGTGTTACTTCCGTAGATGGTTGGGTCTGTAGCGTTGGGACCAGTGGAAAGGACGGTGTATAACGTAGGTACTTTGGGGCTGACGTAGGTAACATCGTTGAAGAAAGCGCTGGATTGGATTAGCCCTGTACTATCATCAAAGAACATAGTGTGCATTGCAGATTTGAGAAACTCACTAATTCGCCCCATCATCCAAGTTGTCCATCTTCAAGTCTAGAGTAATTGACCGATCAACGTGGTCAAACAGTCCCTCCTTATCGTACGGCACCAGAGCAAAATCATCAAACGGTTCGAATGCCTCGACCTCCTTTGGTGTTGGTAGCTCTTTGCTATTGTCGTATACAAGCCAGCCCGTGACATTTGGATTCAGACCTTCTGGTACAGCGTCGAACAGGTCCTGATCCATGCTTCCGACAAAAGCAAAGTTGGAGTTTGTATCATTCTTAGCGGTGACAAGGACGCTATATCGTTGCGCCGCGGTGATATAAATCATCTCTGCGTCCGTCGGTTCGGTGTACACACCGTCGACTTCAACAATGCGCATGGTATGGTCTTCGAACCAAACGTACTGCGCAGCGAAAGCGCCCATATTGACCATCCGGAAGAGATATGTTTTTCCAGGCTCTATGCTGACAGTCAAATTCTGGGTATCGTTCAACAGTGCTGCTTGAGGTACGGGTTCTGCGCCCGAAGGATTGGCGATGCTGATGAATTCTGCGAGAAGGTTGTGCATAAGATCATGATACCAATCAGAAAGCGTTATGACAACTTCTTCGTCGTAGAGATCTTTGTATGGATCTTCAGGATCATGTACAATAAAAGGACCTCGAATACCATCTGGATATTGGCCGCGCTCATGGCTGTGATACCAATATGTGCCAGGTTGGTTGACCTGTACTAGTAAGAAATTGGTACCACTTTCCCTCGAACATTGCTAAACTCACAGTAAAGTTGTAGGTAAAAGAGCTACCCGGGGGGATTCCACACTGTGAAACAGCTACTGGACCATCCATGTGCGTAGTACCATTCATGTACAAGCCATGGAAATGCAGACTCGTCGACTCATTCCCCAAGGAGTTCTTGACATTGACAATGACTTGGTCGCCTTTTGTAACGACTATAGGTGGCAGAGGCCATTGTCCGTTGATGCCAATGACTGGTCGTGTTTGCTGGCCGTCGGGATTCGCGTGGACCCATCCTATGTCGAAGTCATGCGTGACAGTCGCACAGGATGTGATTGATATTAGTAGTGAGAGTGGGAGGAGAAAGTTCGATAGTGAGATTGCCATGATGGCGTGCGAGGAGAGTACTGGAGACTGAAATTGGTCGGGTCCTGTTGCGGGTGATCAAGTCGCTTGGAGTACGACTCAACCCAGGAAGCTCTCGTGCTACCATTCAAGTTAGTGCCGATGCAAGAATGCACTCGTCAAACACATGAGGTAAGATGCGACGTGCGGAGATCAGATAAGACGACCTAAGTATTCCGACCCCCACCTCCTCAAGCCATCATGTTCGGAGCCGACTTATCAGATCATCAGCTCATGTTCTCGACGGGGGCTGGAGGCGGCCACAAAGTGTCGCAAAGTGGGGCATATGTGTCTTCTCCTCATGAACTAGGCTCAGGAGGGTTTGACTTGTGCAATCGTCCCTGCATCATGTAGAATTTTCCTGTCTCAAGGCAGCGGCAAGCGAGCTCCTCTACCTTGATTTGCTGTGTGGAGTGACATTCACCGGCGATTATCGGTCCATCTGATAATCTGGACCATGATCGACCCAGGTATTGGGGTAAGCGATGGTGCCGAAGGACCAACAAGCCCGCACTAGCCTGCGCTACAGAGTCTTAATCTGATTAGGCGCGCTGGGCGTGCGGAGGGGATAATCGCTCATGCAGAGGAGTTGGGCTCTACAGAATGTGTACTGAGGGTCCTTTTGTTCATGCGTTTAGTTATGATGGAACGTGAAATTGTTGCATTCGTCCAATGACATCAACGCCAGAAGAATCCGACTACATATCTTATTGATGCGGCCGCAGCAACACAGCTATCCTGAAGCATGATCGGTCCGTCATGATACCGGGAGGTAAACTCAAATTCAGAAGCAGGGTCGTCGTGCATGCCCGAATTTCGGCTGTTGTCTAGCGCCATCTATACGAACGGCAGGCACATGTTAGCACACCCTCTTCTTCGGGAGTCTCTGCGTGTCCCTTCATCTGATTAGATCCCCTCCTTTGTCCTTTATCTATACTCCAGCGGAAATAACAGATTCAGCAAATCTGGTAGTCTGTTCAAGATGCCAAACGTCTTTGCTGTGCCAGGTGCGTCTGCAAGAACCGTCATCCTTGACTTCGTAACATGAGTAACGCCGTCTTTGTCTAACTTCAACCAAGTTTTCTTCATCTGCTTCCGAGAGTGTCTGGAAACAAGCATTATCGTCTCTGTGCTTCTCGCGTTCCTCAAGCAAACTCTTGGCCCTGAACATGATGCTATTGTTCACAAGCG